CAAGCTCCTGTCAAGAAGGCAAAAATACAAGGTTATGATCTGGCCTCCGTTCACTTATGCACTCCCTGCCCCACCCCAACACTCCACTTGCTTGTCTGCCTTGACTTCTTTAGCTGTGGAACCCACGACTTTGCTCTCTCACCCTTGTGCCGCGGTCTGTGTTGCTCCCTGTCAGGGGTGCTGTTGCCTTTTGCCTCGCTGCTTCTGTGGACCCCACGTGCAATTAGAGCGTGGCTTGCCTCGCTCACCGAAGACAAGTCGGGTGTCACTCCCACATATTCCTACAGCACACGCTCCTTCCCCGGGGCCTAGTGCTCGCACGCTATCCTCCACTGGTCCGTTTAAGGGCTGAGAGCAGCTCACCAGGCCCCCGGATCCTGGCAGGCGGTAAAGCTAAGTATTTGTTGCATCTTGAAAAAAACAAACCACTTCCTCCTCATTTCCAAGAGTGCCCTTAGCCTTTTTCAACCGGTGTGCTCCCCCCAAATTATCCATTCTTCAGAGGAATGAACATCACGAGGCCTGGAAGCTGCCCAGAGGGCTACATGGAAGCAGAAGAGCTCACCTCGTTGAGAAGCAGCACATTCAACGTATTCAACGCCCACAAACTGACACCCACTCCCTGGTACATGATAAGATGTGCTAGGGCACTAGAGAATCAAGCAGGGCTTTTGTCCTCCTGAGCTCTTGCAGGGAGTGGGCAGACAGACTCTTGCACAATGAGCTATGACAACATGTGACCAAGTGCAACAACAGGGTTCCAGGGAATCCTGAGGAGGAAGCAACGAATTCCGCCTGAGCATGCAGGCTTCACAGGGGAAGTCACGTCTGACCAGGGCCCTGGAGGACAACGGGCTTTGCCCAGTAGCAGAAACACATTCTCCCCAGCAAGAACAGCAGGAACAGGGCGGTGTGTGTGTGTGTGTGTGTGTTGGGGGGTGGTTAAAGGGTCCAACGTCACACTGAGGTATTCAGATTTCACCCTGCAGCAGAGTGGGGGGAAAGCCATCCTCACAAGAAGCTCCTCCTGGGGCCAGGTAGGCAGGGATGAGGCAGGCAACCAGCTGTGCACTGCTGGAAACAGGAGTGCTGGGAGGAGGCCCTGCCCCTTCCCAGGGGCCAGTGTGAAGTATCTTGCTCTGTTGCCCATTTTTGAGAGATGAAGGGAGTGTCTTACCCTCCAGACACGGCCTGCCTAACTTCCCCAACCTTCGGAGCCTGGCTCAAAATCCACCTTCTCCCTGAGGGTCTTCTCTGACCATACTAGCTCTCAGGATTCTCTCTCCCTTGAAAACCCTAAACTCTCAGTCCCAAATTGATTTCTGGCGGGCTTGTCTGTCTTAACCCTTTACGGCTTGAACTGAGGTTTTGTAATCCAAAGAAGCCTTGGCACTGTACTGGCCCAATGTCTGTGGTGCTCCTACGGGACATGCTCCCCCAACAACAAGGGTGCAGAGAGGGCCGCTTAGTGGAGTGAGGACTCTGTCCCCTCACACCAGAAGCCTAGCATCTCTGCCTGTGGCAATTTTATATTCGAGGGACTGGAAAATCTTTAGGAGTCCTGTCGAGTTGAAATGACAATTGTTAAGAGAAATAAACTGCAAACAAATACGGAACTCTAGTCAATGAGATGCATGAGGAAGTATTCAGCAAAGTGTCCTGATGTCTGCAGTTTATTTTGAAATGCATTAAGATGTAAGATGAATTAATGGGGGGGGGTGATGGCTATGTAAACACGCAAGTATAGGAGCAGTTTGCTAAAGGCAGAATCTAGGTGGTGAGTACACAGTTGATCACTGTTCTTTCAGTTCTGCTGTACATTTGAAAATTTTCAAAATAAAATAATAAAACCCAAGATGACTGCTGTTAAAAGTTCTCCACTGTCACTCAGCAAACTGATCTCCAGCAGACCTACCATGGGCTCTGTCTCCTATTCTCCCCAAGGTTTTTGCTTAGATGTTCCTTCTAGGGAGCCCTCCAGAGCCCTCCCAGAGCCTGGAAGATGGACGAAGCGCTCTTCCCATTGGGGTACCTTCTCGGCCTTACCGCTGACTTCTCTGTATTGTGCAGTCTCGCCTCCAGACAGGAACTACGGAGCACTGTGCCTGCTACACAGACGGTCCTCAATAAACCTTTACGAATGACATCACCCAGACCCGGTCCTCTCTGTTATCCATCGAGGTGTCCACCGCAGATGCTCGATGCCCCTGGACCTTCTGGTCAGATCAGTGGCCAGTCCGGTCCCAAGCCTCTCTTCCGCCCCCGGTAGCCGTCGCCACATGCCCATGCCCCCCCGAGGATCAGCACCTTGCCTACCGCCGGTCCCCTTCCTCGCCCAGTGTCAGTCCCTCGCCTCTTCTCCAGCCAGTTCCTTTCCCGAGGACCCCTCCCCTCGCCCAGCTTCCTTCCCCTTCCCCCACCCGGTTGCTCCCGGCTACAATCCCTTTTCCCTCGCAGCCCTCCCCCCGCGCAGGCCCCCACCCCGTCCTTCCCGCACCGATTTTGCTGGGCCGGGCGTCTCCGCCCGTGGCGGCGGCGGCCAGGAACGCGGCCAGCGCGGCGAGGAGCCGGGCAGCTCGGGCCATGGCGGGCGGCGATCCGGACAGCACGCCGGGGCTCGGCGCTCGCGGGTTGGCGCTGGGCTCGCCGCCCCGCCCCGGCGCCCCACTGGCTGTTCCGCCTTCAGCCCGGCTGGCCACGGCCTCTCATTGGTCGGGCAGCCGTCTCTCTCTCCAGCACGAGGCGCTCATTAGCTGCATCCCTCTCTGGCAGGCTCGGTCCGTAGCAGCGCCCCCCGTCCCGCCTCCTGGATACGGGTTCCCCATTGGCTGGCTCGTTCTGCCCACGAGCAGGTGTGTGCGCGCTCCCGGTGCTCAACATCAGGACCAGGGCCCGGCTGCGGGAAGATCGATGCGAGAGGCGGACAACCTCGGTTCCAGGCTAACCCCTGCGAGTTCCTAGCTCGCTAACGGGCCGTCTCTGTGTCTCCTTCGATTTCCCTGCTCTCCCTTTCTAGGCGTTTGTGACAGTCACATGAGATCAGGGACGTGATACCGCTCGGCAGCGCCTGCAAGTCCAGCAAATTGCAGACCAAGCGTGCGCAGCCATGGTGGCTAGACGCTCCCCTCCGCGTGTGTGGAAACAAGGCCAGATGCTTTCGAGACTGCTGTCACTGACGTGCATTTGCAGGTTCTACATGCGGTTTGTGTCTCTGCCGTCTACTTAATCCAAAGGGAAGGGTTTCATCCAGTCTCTTCTCAAGAGGGAGGAAAGGTAGGAAGGGAGGCATACGCTCCCATTTTCACCCAAGAAAACAAGAGCTGCTCAGTGTGGTTAATTCATTACATGGTGAAGGACAGATTCCTCTAGTGGAAAATAAAGTTGGGGATGAGTTTCAGGATAAATAAGGGAAACCCATATTTAATTCGTCAGATTGTGGCTAAGAGAGGAGACTGAAAGGATTCATAAGATAGTAAAAGAGCATACAGCTGGGATTCTAAGTCAGCTCTCTGAGTCATAAAACTGCCAACCTGGTTACTAGTAAAGTGGTAGACGAACAAACATGCATTTCTTATAATCTTAAAAGAATCCGTCTGGCAATGTTTGTGTCAGAATAAAACTTTTTAAGTTCATTCCCAATGACTCAAGATATTCCCTTAAATTTTTTGTTAAATAAGCATTCATCAATTACTTTGTGCCAAGTTCTCTTATGTGCTGACTTAATCCAATCCTTGTGGCTTCTTGGTAAGGTAAATTTTACTAACCCCAAAACTCCACTCCCCCCCACCCCCAAACAAAAGGCCTCACATATTTATTACTGAACCAACCTACTGGTGCAGAAGCATAGGAACAGAGGAAAATCATCTTTCCAATAAAACATGTCTATTGTTCAGGTAGTAGTGATGTTTACACTAGGAGACCAGGAGTGAAGCTGGGTGACTCTATCAAGTTCCCTATTGCCGCCTAACAAACTACCCCAAAACTTAATGGCTACAAGTAACAATCATTTACTTTGCCCATAAATCTGTGCTTTGGGCAGGGCTCGGTGAGATCAGGTCATCTCTGTTCCATGTGGTGTCAGATGGGGCTGTTCCCCTAGGGGCTGGAGGATCCACTTTCAAAATGACTCGAGATGGCTGGCAAGATGGTGTTGGCTATCAGTTGAAATCTCAGCTAGGGCCCGGTTCCACTCCACAAGCTGCTTCAGTTTGCCCTTAATTTGAAGGCTGAGTTCTAAGGGTACACATCCAGATAGGATGGTTTGGGTCCAGAAACCAGCAGTCACTTCTACTACATTCTATTGGTCACCCACAAAGTCCAGATTCAAGGAGATTTGGAGCCATGTTTTAAAATCTGCACAGTGAACTTGACCATGTGGACAGTCTGAGCGGATAGAAGTAAGAGTATACTTCCTAGCACTGGGACTATGGGAAGCAATGGATTTGGGAACCAGGGTATACAGACAAGATTGGAAGAGTAATGAAATCCAAGGCCAAATTGCTGGAAAGGCTGGCTCCAAACAGGGCCACTCAGCCAGGAGGCTGGGTATGTAGAGGCCAGCTGAGAAGCAAATGTACAAAGCCAGGCAGACCTTGGCAAGGACTCGTGGAAGCTGAAGATCTGAGTAAAGCCACATGTCAGTAATCTGGCTGAGAGGATCAGAAGTTCAGCAGTTCAAGTGAAGTGGTTAAAGTGGATAAGACAATTAGACCCAGGAAGAAAGTGTAAGAAAATAAGGCAATGCCAGAGAAGGCAGAAACAGGAGTCCAGATCTAAGAAATACCTAAGAATCAGAATGAAGCAAGGCCAAGGAGGTAGGAAAACAGGTAAGACTTCAACACCAAAGCAGGGTGTAGAATGATGTCTACACTGCATCCATTTGGCTGGGGCGCTGTGGGATCTCAAGGTACCTCTGCTGAGTGTCGACTAGGTGGGTCAGCAGTCAATGAAGGGACCATAATGTCAATATATAGGCGGACAAAGACACTAAACACATGAACTGCAGCTTTGTCAATTCAGGTTTTTATTGAAGTTGCTTCTGAATATTCTATTTCATCCTTAGTTTTCCCTATTTGATTTGCTTTAGTGTACAAGAACCTTTCTTCACTTATCGGATTCTTTGCCATGAAAGAGCACCAATTAACTTATCAGTATCAAACTGATTCCCTTATGACACTGAAGAAAATCTGTACAAGGTTTGTAGAATCCATGTACTGAAACACCAGGATCCCCTCTTCAAGTGAGCCAAAGCTTCCTTACATATCTGCAGGCCTACAACATTTTTTCGCTTTCCCATCAAGATCAAAGTAAAGAAGAGCACACACGCAATTTTCTTGCTCCTCCAGTCTAAAAGTGTGGATTTCTTGCATTAGTTTAAAAAACACAGAAAAAAACAAAAGCTAGAAGGAAAATAAGTCACTGTGATTGATTAAATTACAATTTTTTTTTATAGAGAAGCAGCATTTAACCAGTTTTCCCCTTTCCCTAGACTTTAGGCAGCTATAAAAACATACGCAAAATAACATGTATAATAAAAAGTAATAAAAATAAATATTTGAGGGCCTACTGCAGTAGACAATTTACACATTTTGTTTAATCTTCACAATACTGTGAGGGAATTATAATCATGGTACAAACAAGGAAGCAGGCTCAGAAGGGTGAAATGACTGGGGCCCAAGATCACACAGGTGACCGGGCTGGGATTTATGTTCAAGTCTATGCCTCCAGAGCCTAAGCTCTATTACGCTGCTCTGGCTCCCAAAAGCCCAACTTTTTGAGATTCTTACCATTGTAGCTCCATCTTCTAAATTTACACTTTTAAGTCTGCATAACTACTGAATAATAAAAGAACTTAAAAGTTATTCTCAATCTACTTGCTAAAACAGGAGTTTGCAAGGTATATTAGAAAACTCTTCAAGTACTTGGAACAGTCCATACCTAAAATGATGGTTGTTCTAATTCACTGAAAATGACAGCTAGTAATTCAAGAACACATAGGTAATTGCAATTGGCTCCTTTTCTTGTTGCCACCATCTGTCAATCTCAAAGGAATGAAGGCAAAAAAAAAAAAAGACAAATTCCTATTGTGAAATCCAACTGCTCATTAAATTTACAGTATGCACTTAGTGGAAAGCCCAAAGAGGTTCTGGTTTAAAAATCTTACTACCAGTCTTTTGTTTGCTTCTTAAAAGCACTCATTTGTTTTTTTCTAAGTATCTAATTCTGGTGGAGATGGCAGGGCCCATTGGGGGATGGCTTTATTGATACATATGAGGAGTCTGCTAGAACTATCTATGATGTCTAAGAGGATAACTTTGAATACTCCACAGAATGGGGATAACTAACTTAAAAAGCCTGAACCTATGCAATCTGGACATCTAACAATCTTTGTCCACTGGGGACATATTTGCACGTTCATTATAGAACTGTTGGATCTTAAATGATTAAAGTTAGTATCTAGTTGTTCCTTATTCAAGTTCTTACTGAAATTTAGGTTACTAGTTGTAGACATTTTTTGAGTCCAGTCTTAAAAAGACGTTTTCATGCTTAAGAAGCTGAAAGGGTGAGATGAGATCATCATTAAGGCCTCTTTGAACATTAAAGTCTCCGTAACTGACCTCCTTTCTAAAGTCTGACTGGTAGGTCATTCACTGGCTCATTTACTGAACAGATCTTTTACAGAACACCAGCCATAAGCAGGGCTAAAAAAAGTAAAAAAATAAACATATAGGCTCATTAATTCTAGGAGGTCAATACATAAAGGACAGCTAGATGTTAATAAACGTAACATAAAAAAGAGAGGAAAACTAGAAAATAAAGCTTATCGGTGTGAGAGAGGTAGTGATTTGCGAGTACCAAGTAAAAAAGATTCAGCATAACTAAATAAAATGAGAAATTGTAGAAACCTAACATTTTTGTCCTGACTGCCTCCCTGCATAATCTAACAAAGGATGATGAGGCAAATCTGACACAGCAGAAACTTTAAGGACTAGTGGAGACAAAAGCTGTAGGTAAATTACCTACATAGACTGATTTGGGTCATTAGCTATTGGTGCTGCCTTGGTTCCCCTGAAATAATTATATACCTAGGGAGGCCGAAAATAACTGGAAGGTAACTCAGCCAGGAAAGCACAAGGATTCTTGGTCATACTCACCAGAAAAGAACCTGGTATCTTGAATTTCTTGATATTTCCTTTCTATGCCTCCAGAGCCTGAGCTCTGTTATGCTGCTCTGGCTCCCAAGTCTTGCCTGGGCCTTGCTTAGCCCTTGTAAACGGCAGTCGGAACGGGACAATGCACGTGCACACGGCCCACCTGGCGGGGACCGCAAGAACAAAGATGGCGAAAAGGCAAATAAAACCGAAAGGGGAAATCCTGAAAACCTGTGTGTATACAAACCAACCCGGGCGGTCTAAACTCATGCAACTCTAAAGCTTTATCATCTAAGTACCCAGCTGTTGAACCAATCCCTACCATCTCCTTTTCCCATGAAGTACAAGATCCTATATAGTTCCCGTTATAGGGACCATTAGAAAGAAACATTCAGTTGAAAATACATGAACACATACTCATTTCCACATTTTAAAAAGATTTTCAATTGACAGTCATCAGAGTACCAATTTCAAAATAATTCTCTTAAACATACTTGGATGAAGGCCATAGGATCACTTGTCACATTGTTCAAGTGCCCAATGGCAAGACTTCCGATGAGACCAAAGAGGTCACATTAAATCAGTAGAGTATCTTAGAAATAAAGCCAATATGACTAAATCCAAAACAGATCACATGAAGTACCTCATGTACAATACAAACCTAGTTTAATAAATAAAGGAAACACAGGTGACTGTACCCTGGAACATTCGGTTCCTCATGGCCCATTCACAGTCTTCTCTGAGACTCCACAGCCACTTCCACCCGGGCAAGTCTGATGGTGCGGCCGTGAAGCTTGTAGCCATCCTGCCTTACTAACGCCACGGTGCCAGGCTGCACCCCAACACGAGCTGGCACGTGACAGAGGAGTTCATGCTCATGAGGGTCATATTTGTCACCGACGGGTGTCATCTTCTCCAGGCCATGTTTGGCAAACACGCTTTTCAGCTTTGCTTCTAAAAGTGACAAGCCTCGGAAGATCTTCTCCAAAGTGAGCTTCTGGTCCCCAGGCTCTGTTTCTTCAGAAATGCACTCTCTAGTCTTCTCCAAAATGTCTGCCACTTCTACCAGGTCCTTGCAGAAACTCTGAATTCCTAGAGAAACCAGACACTTTTACTGTTTGTGAGGAAATCACTTTGCTCTTGGGGGTGACGTATGGGGAAGGCCCAGACAAGTGGCTGGTATACTGGATACCCCAGGAAGTGGGAGGATTGCCACACAGGACCCAGGGATCATCATCAACGATCATCACCTTAACCCAACTGACAAACCGGGGTTTCTCTTGGAAGGCATATGACTGGGAAGCCTACTAGGGAAAGGGGAAGATGGTTAGAACCTAAGAACTAGGTAAGTCTGCACGCAGGAGGCTCAGAAACCCATCCTTTAAAAACTGGATCATTGTTTCTTTTTATTTTGATTGCTATTCACCTTTAGTACTGAGTTATGTACATTTTGAAAATTCTTGTAGGTCTTAATTTTGCTAAGACATACATTCTCAATAGGGACAAGATATTGGCATTTCATGGGGCAGGGGGCAATAATACAAAAGTTAGTTGACAAGACCGTGCTAAGGGAGCTTCAAGAACGGTTTATTCTTGAGGACTGGCTCAACAGGGACAGGACAGTAGGATACTCCATAGATGAGATGGGTGTCCAACTGTCTGTTCGAAAGTTACATATATTTGCTAGAGACGGGCCACAACACTTTTAAAATCCGTTTAGTCATATGAACTGTTCTAAAAGTAAACTCAACTGTTGAGAAATCTCATTACTCCCAGTGCAGCATCTTGATTTTTCTTACAGAAATGTTAAGGAATGTCATCATTACAGATATCTATGATAAAAGCAAAGCCCTGGTGGGAACTAGTGAAGGGTGAAGGATTTTGTTCATCTGGTTTTAATCCAGGGACAGTTTTTTTTTTTTAAAGATTTTATTTATTCATTGGCGGGTGGGGGAGAGTGCACGCACGAGTGGGATGAGGGGCAGAGGGAGAGGGAGAAGCAAACTCCCTGCTGAGCAGGAAGCCCAAGCCTCGATCCCAGGACCACGAGATCATGACCGGAGCCGAAGTCAGTCACTTAACTGACTGAGCCACCCAGGGACCCCAATCCAGGGAGTTTTTAAGGCCAGGAATCAAAACAGGCAGCCACCTTAACTGTATTCAGAGGTAAAAAGGAAGATTATCTACAGGGAAGCAATAAAAGAGATGACAGAAAAGAAATTTATCTAGACTTGCTGCCTAGATTCTGGGAGGAACAAGTGAGAGAGGTAGGAATTCTACCTGTAACTTCTGGGTGATAGAGATGCATTATAGCATCTTGAGAAAAACAAGTTTAATAGGATTCAAATTAGTCTAATAACATACATAATGGATTTGGGGTGCTAGGGCATGACAGATGGGCAGGAAGAGAAGATATCAGAAGAAACAGGAGAACCAATGAAGGAATGCTGGTGTGACCTGGTGTGGTGAAGAAGAGGAGGCGAAGGACAGAAAAGAGTAAAACCAGCAGGCATTTCCAGGGAACCAGACTTGGTGCGATCAAAGTTCCACGAGATACCTCCCCACCTCCACTGGGGATGGCAGCCATAAATATTAATGGCTATTAATAAAATCAGCTGGAAAGGTAGAAGAGATTTGCCAAAGGCTTGAGAAGTATGCCGATAAGATCAAAACTCCACCCAAGAGAAAAGGATGTCTCATAAAGGTCAATCAGGGGGCACTAAAGGCATCTCCTGGCTATTAAAAGAAGACATATATGCTTATAGAATTTTGAAAGCGGCAGGCTTCTGGGCAGACTTGTACACTGCCATGGTACAAAGAACCCTGGCTTCTGTTCAGTCACATTGTATGAATTTGGGTAAACAGAAGCCCAGGTTCTCTTGTGTATAGTGAGGGGTTCAGTCTCTGATTCTATCCTAATTACTGTTACTTCAATAGGAAGTTGGTGTCTGCACCATTTCTTAGGAGTGGGGGGTGAGGGAGAATCTTTATGACCTGCTTAAGAGTTACTGAGACAAAACAATTCCTGGAAGGAGGATCATTATGCTATACTACATATTAACTAAAAACAGTAAAAGCTTTCTACTTTTTTCCTACCTCCATGCTCCCTGACCAATCTTCAATTTTTCTAAGTATTCCCGGCCACTAGAAGGAAATGATCCAAGCAAGTAACTTAGGTGGCATACTGCTAGACACATTCTGCTCTCTGAATGAATACATTAGATTATCAAATTATTTTGAGCTTAGCTAATACTTGTTTGTTCCTGGGAACCTTATCAATTCTTGAGGAAACTGATATAACTGATATAACCCATCAAAGCTTGACTTCTGGTAAGCCGTTTTACCCTGTTCCCCTCAAGCAGGCAAGAGGTCTTCCCCAGAAACCAGCTGGTTTATTTGCTACAGAAATTCCTTGTAGCTCAAAGGTCAGCAAACTTTTCCTAAAGGGCCATATAGTAAATATTTTAGGTTTTGTGGGACAAGAGGCAAAAATCAAGGATCTTATGTAGGTGATTATTTAATAAATCAGAAAATTTATTTCTATAAATTTTTAATAATGAAATTCAAAACTGTATTTATGGACTAACACACAGGCTGTAGTTTGCTAAGCCCTGTCCTGATGGTTGGAAATAAGACACTAAAACTTGGATGAAACATCAGTAATACAATTTGGAGGTCAGTACTTAAGCTGATACTCATAGCCTTGAAATGTGATGTCTCTAGCACTGAATGAAAAGCAGAAGGCTATGCCAAAGCACTGGGGCTGGATGGGACAGGACAGGAATGAAGTGAATCCTGTGCACAAATAGCAGATAAAATCCAGAGAACAGGAACTAGCGTGACATAGGGGAAAGACTGATAGACTGGGGGTCAGGAGACAATGGACTCATGTCTCTGTCACCAATTAACTTTTTTCAGCTCACTTGTAAAAGGAGATTGGACTACATACAATCCAAGGGCTCCTCAAGCACCTTCATTCTATGTGAAGTGAAAGTATAACGCTCTGTATGAAATTGTGAGCAAGGCAAGTAATCACAGATTTGCCCTCTACCCTTCAATCCCTGTCATGAACACATTTGGAATGAGATGTTGTGTGTTCAGAGAAAAATTTCTGTAAGACCTTATATTTTATTTTTTTAAACGTGCGTCCTTCAAACGTATATATATATATATTTGAGATTTTATTTTTAAGTAATCTCTACCCCCAACGTGGGGCTCAAAAGCCTAACCCAGAGATCAAGAGTCGCATGCTCCACAAAGCCAGCCAGGCACCCCTGAAAGACTTCAAATTGACCAAAAAGATTATTCGGTCATCAGTGAAAAAATAGTTGTGATCTAGTACAACTTCCAGAGTTATCTGCTTCCGTATGGTCCGAGCCTTTGTCTTTTGAGTTATTCTATAACTTAGTAAGTTGTAAATACTGATGGTAATGCAAATGATTTTTGTCCACAGTAGTGACAATAGTTGTAGTGTCCGTAGTAATGAAAATGATTTTTGTCCCCTTCATCTCTCTGCTGGAGATAGTTGATTACTGCACTATGGATATAGACCAGTTTTGCTTCTATGAAGCAAATTTTAGTATTCCTGATTGCCCATGCGTCTTGTTCTTTGGATTCTCCTCTGAACATCTTAATGATTCACTTGTTTGTTAATGAGTTAAACAGAATTGATTGTATAAGCACTAGAATATTAAGTGTAAATGCTTGCAAAATAAAGTAACAAAGGTTTTGGTCAAAACAAAGGCAAGCATTATTTTAGCAAATGGTTGACTTGGCAACATTCCCAATAAAGATCTTAGAAAACATATGGCAAGAGTGGAAGGGCAGGGTAGGACTGGTTTAGGACCTAGATGTGTTTTTTACTATGTTCAGTTTGCAAAACTGCTAGTAAGTATCCTTAAACTAAAAGGTTTTTTTTTTTTTTTTTTTTTGAGACAGAGTGCCCGCATGCAGGGGGCGGACAGGCAGAGGGAGAGACAGAATCCCAAGCAGGCTGTGTAGAGCCCAGCCTGCTTGGGCCAGTGTAGAGCCCAGTGTAGAGCCCAATGCGGGGTTCAACCTTTGGACCAAGATCATGACCTCAGCCGAAGCCAAGAATCCGACACTTAACCGACTGAGCCACCCAGGTGTCCCAAACTCAAAGGTATTTTAGTTTTTATCACAAATAAATCTCTCACCAAATATCTTGGCATCTTCAACACATCTCTGGGTTCGCCGCCTTATGTTTTCACCATCAGCTACAGCTCTCTGGTATCTCATCTGACACCAAAAGCAAAGTCAAAACGATCAGAAAATACATGCTTGCTGGTGGAAAAGAATGTTTTTGCTTACTTTACAAACTTCACCCTTGTGATAGGTTTTTATTAAAACAAAAATTAGGAGCTGTAGGAATCTTAGATCAGCTACTACAAATCCCCAAAGCAGGAACTTACTCTTCACAGCAGCCCTGATAGGCTGTCATTTAGCCTCCTACTCTTAACACTTCACAACAGTTTTCAAGCTCATTATCTTGAGCGAAAGCTTCCTTTTTCAGACACAGCCAATACTTGCCAACCCTCTTTCTTTTGTTGAACTGAACTCCAGGACATCAAACAGGAAGTTTTAAAAATGTGTCATCTATTTGAAGGCAGTTAGTTTAGCTCCTTTAATCTTTTCCTCTTTCATTCTTATAATCCTTGATTCCTTTAATTGCTCTCACAAGACATGCTTTGCTACCTCCTTACCATTCTGGGTGGCCTTGCTTTGGAACTACTCTAATTATCGCCCTCAAAGCGTGTCTGTCACCCCGGTATGGTAGAGTATGCCAGATGGAGTCTGACTGGCAGAGTACAATGATAAATGACATATTCATCCAACAAATATCTACAGAGGTTTTACTACCTGCCAGGCCCCGAGCCTCCTCTGGTATGTAAGTACTGTGACATAACAGGTTTTTAACTACGATAGCCTACTTTGCCTAGTATACCTAGCAGGAGAGTGGAAATAGGGGGGAGAGTTAAAGAGCCAATAAGAGGAAATTTAATTTAAAAAATGGACACAAAAACTGTACGTAGATATTTAAACCAGAGAGGGGATGTGAGGGACAGACAAAATCTACTCACTGTTAAGTCCTGGACTTCCTTCTCCAGTTTCACAGCTTTAAGCTTTAAGGCTCGTTCTGCCAGAGAGGGCCCAAGCTCATCGGGAGGGTCCTCAGAACTGCAGTCCTCACCAGCAGTTCTCTGGGTGGCAGTGCTGAAAGGATGTGGCCATCCCCTTAAGTGGGAGGGAGGGGGGCACATGAAGAAATGCCATCACACACAGCCAAACTGCTTGCGGTCACAGTAACAACACCAACACTTAGAAAGGGCTTATTAAGTGCCAGACACCATTGTCAAGATTTTATGTAAATCATCTTTACATCTCACGGTGTATGAGAGAAATTATATTATCATCTCAATTTTTTTTAAAAGGTTTTATTTATTTATTTGAGACAGAGACAGCACGAGTGGTGGGGAGGGGGAGAGGGAGAGGGAGAAGCAGAACCCCAGCTGAGCAAGAAGCCTGACACCAGGACCCTGAGATCATGACCTGAGCCAAGGCAGATGTCCAACCCACTGAGCTGCCCAGGCGCCCCTATCATCTCAATTTTATAAATGGGAAAACTGAGGCTCAGAGAGGCTTATGACTTGCATAAGATCACACAGTTAGTATTCTGTTGAGTCAGGATACTGAACACAAGGCAGGAGGAATAGCCAGAAGTGTGGACACAAAAGTCAGCAAGAGAAAAGCAAGTTCTAATGCCCAGAACCAGCGGGGCCATATCAGAAGCGGGAATTCAAAACACAAATAATTTCTGATTCAATCCTTCATTTTACACATAGGGAAAATTAAGCCCAGGAAAGGGACTGTGTCAAACTGGAGTTAGGCCTAGAATTCTAAAGCTTTCTTGACAAGCTCTGAAGTAAGGCTCTTAAGAAACAGAACCTGTGTTAAGAGAAATTCTGAGTTGGGAACTCACTTCTGTGTAAAATCAAGTCAATTAAATACTTATAAAACACTATCCGTTCCAGACTGTGAACTATAAACAGGTGAATAAAATGGACCTTTATATTCGATCATGTTTGTCATCTACAATTTCATACAGCTCAAATGTCTGACATATAGTTGTTTACAAAGGAAGAAATTTAGGGCAGGGACTACTTTACACATCTTGGCTTATAGCAGTTCTGACTCCTCTTTCAAGGAAGTTTCCATTACACTTTCTGGATTCCCATAATCTGATCCGAAGTAAAACCAACAAAATCAATCTGTGAGTATAAAAGGTCTTTAAAACAAATAATTTACTCATATAAACTGGCATATATTGAAGAGCAGTCATCGTGGTGACATCCGTGCAAAGATTTAAAGGGGGTAAAATGAGTTTGCTTCAAGAAAGGGAGAGGGTGGGGCGCCTGGGTGGCTCAGTTTGTTAAGTGGGTGGCTGCCTGCGGCTCAGGTTATGATCCCAGGGTCCTGAGATCGAGCCCTGCATCGGGCTCCCCGCTGAGCGGGAAGCCTGCTTCTCCCTCTCCCACTCCCCCTGCTTGTGTTCCTTCTCTACTGTGTCTCTCTCTGTCAAATAAATAAATAAAATCTTTTAAATTAAAAAAAAAAAAAAAGGGAGAGGGAACAGTCAGTAGAAAGCTATGGGCAAGATGACTTTTATGTCCCAGACTTTCCGGGCCAGGCCTGAACTCAATTATTACAATTTGGTGTCAGATTATATGTGGTTCCACATTTTTGGTTCAGAAAATATGGTCACCTTAGATCTGGGGCAAATCACACAGGGTGAAATACCTCCTTCCTCCTAAACTCCTAACAAACTACATTTATCCAATTGAAAGTAGGTCATAACACTCCCAGGGCCAGTTTAAAGAGAAAATGGCCAAAGCCCAAGTCTGAAGAGGACAGTTGAGGCTGATTCCTTCAATTCTTCCTGCTCCAGAACTGGAGTGGGGGGAAATTTTATCAGAAGCAAACTTTTTTCTTCTGGTCACTTCCCTACATCACAAACTGCCAAAAAAGACTTAAAAAGCCCGAAACCCTGAATTCAATCTGGCACCCAGGTGCTAGGGCTGGGTGCTAGGTCAGGTGTGTTAAGATAAAAAGGTGACAAATAGTTATGCGCAATTCCCGGGATTCCCCACAGCTTAATTTACATTTCAGAAGTCCAACCTTACCGCACAGTTCACTCATTTTTATACTTTCTGAGGAAGTCAAACAGAGTCGCCCCTCAGAATAATTAACGTTGCTTACTAATTAAAAGTGCCGATTCTAGAGCCCTGACTGGTTTCTAATCTGGGTTCCACCATTACAGAGTATTTGAGTTTGGGAAAGTTACTGAATTTTTCCAAACCTGTTTTTTCGACTGAACGGGAGAATAAAAAGAATTATCCATAGAATTCTAGAGTCAGCATGATTAGTAATCAATAAAATGTGCCGCAGCCGATGGTGAAGAGCAGCAAATGCAACTACATAGACTCCCGAGGGCAGGTGGAAGGGCCGTTTGGAGACTAAGTCGACCGCCCTCCTTTTACCGACAGGTAAAGCGAAGCCGAGATAATGGGGAAGGGACTGGCCTAGGGTCACACAGGGAGTCAGCGGGGAGAATTCCAATTTAACTGCAGACACCTCAGCTGGGGGGAAAAGAGCCGGGACACGTACATCCCCAATTCAGTCGATGCTCGGTGCTCAAGAGTTCCCACTTCCGAGGAACGTGACCTCGGCTCTTCCTTGGCCCGGCTAGGAGGCGCTGCTGTGTGCCTCAGTTTCCTTCTCTGTAAAATGGGGCCGTGAGCGCCAGATCGGACAGCCGAGAGGCTTGGTGGGTCATCTCGCGCCCTCTAGCCCACAACCGCCCTTCCAGCTTTCTTGTCTAGCACTATCCTCAACCCCCGACCCGCGGCCTGCCTGGCTCACCTGCCCTCGGACGCGGCACTCGAGGCAAGGAGACGCTGCAACAGCCGCCGGACCGCCCAGACGGACCGCGCGGCCATATTCCCGATCTCGGCTGACGGAGACAGCGCACGCGCACTTGCTCCAAATGACGAGATAAGCGAGATACCACGCTTCCCGGCAGCCTCTGCGGGCGCTCCCAGCCCAGGGCCGGGCTCCAACGCCACACTTCCGGTTGTCAGTGCGCGCGCGGTGCTGGTGCCTATCCCGCGTCTCCGACCGAACGCGACACTTCCGGTCCTCTCGTGTTGGGCGCGAAGGGCGGCTTTCTGTGGCGGGACTTAGGCTTCGTGCTGGTCTTAAATCCGCGGCCAACACAGGGGAACGTAGCTCTACCCTCAAGGAGCTTCTGTGAAATTGTAAACAATAAGTGAATGCAAACGCGACTTCAAGTCAAAATATGACTGGTGGTTAAAGGTGGTGGGCGTGGTGCCGCGGAAGCCTAGAATACGTTGTGGCCAAGTGTGGGCAGTTTCCCCAGAGGAAATACTCGAACTGAAAGCTGAAGAATGAGTAGATGAAAAGAGGAGGAAAGTGGCTCAGGTAGAGGTAAACAGCATCTGCAAAGACCCAGTCCAGAGGGAGAGTATATTGCGAGTAAGGCGCTGAACTATCGGAAGAAAGAGGGCCCGGCAACACAACACAGTTAGCGGAGCAGGTCACGCGAGGGATTTTAAAAACTTGAAGCTCAATTCCGCCATCACTTTCCCCTGCTTTTCTCTCCAGTTCCCTTGTTTTCTGACTTCGCTATGTTTTTAAATGTTGTGTATTTTCTCATTTCCCTTCCCTGGAATGTGAAATCCATTAGAGCAGAGAGGAGTTGGTTATTGCCAGTGAACGATGAAACAGTGTCTTAATGTAGTACACAAATTTTTTGTTGAATGAACTTGAGTCTTACTCTCATTGCAGTGGGAACATGTTACAAAACCTTCACATGTTTAATGGGTCGCTTTGACTCCCGTATGATGGAGATTGCTGGGTCTAAGCAAAGAGGTAGGGAGACAAGCTGTTGTACTAGTCCGTGCAAGGGAGGGCTGTATTCTGTCCTGGAGACACCTTAATGGACCTTTGTTAACACCCTATCTGGGGAGTAAGTCAGAGGGGGAGACGAACCAGGAGAGATGATGGACTCTGAAAAACAAACTGAGGTTTCTGGAGGGGAGGAGGGTGGGGGGATGGGTTAGCCTGGTGATGGGTATTGAGGAGGGCACATTGTGCATGGAGCACTGGGTGTTATGAACAAACAATGAATCATGGAACACTGCATCAAAAACTAATGATGTAATATATGGTGATTAACATAACAATAAAAAATTAAAAAAATAATAAAATCTTAAAAAAAAACCCTATCTGAAGTAGCTACTATTTTAGGTGTGTCCAGCACATTTCTGGTTCCATATTTGTATTTTATTTGTTTTGTTTTCCTTTTGTTTGTTCTCCCAACTAGAGTTTGAGCAAGAGGGTGCATGTCTTGTTCACAGCCATGATTTCTGACCTCTAGTACAGTAGGTATACATAGTAGGTTCTCAACAAATATTTGTTGAATGAATTAATGGTTGATGTCAGCGGAGATAGGAGGAAGTGGATGAATTTGAGAGAGATTTAGTATGGAAAACTGTCAGGAAGTGAGGATAGATTGGTGATTAGGGTTGAGGGCACTTGGAGTTGCCAGACTACTGGATAGTCCTTAAGGTAAGGAATGGGAAGTGTGCCCTCATCATTCTAAATCTTTACCATAACATGGCTTACTTGTACTGTAGCTATTTGGGTCAAATTTTCTCTCTGCTTGTCTCTGAGTTCCCTGAGGACAGAGCTGGAGACTTTTGCATATTTTTATTCTATTCATGGCCCAGCCCAAATGTGTTGTAACCAACACCTGATGCTTCCTTTTGGCCTCAGGAGAAAGGCAACATGGGTCAAGGAGGGATTATGATCCCCTTTTACATTTGAGAAAAGTGAGTCTCAGAGAGGTTGGTACACCTGCTCAGGGTCCCCCACTGAGGATCCAGGGACACTAGAAATCTGATAGTCCCAACACTTGGCAGTGTCAGGAACAATGGAGCTTCAAATCCACCCTAGAGCCAATGAGCCTATACCTTGAAAAAACAACAACAAAAAACCCAACAAAGCATTTTAACAGATGAGGACTGGCATCTATGCTTTAGCCATTTTGTTTACACTTCTTAGCTAACTAACTTACACCAAATGTGCTGCATATGTACATCCATCATTCATCTATTAAGTGCTAGTGTGCTTCTGAATGCTGCAGTGCAAGAGGGGTGGTGGGGTAAGGCATGGATGAAATAGAACCTTGGAACTAAGAGGAAAGGCTGCTAGCTCCACCACTTCCTAACTATGGGCTCCTGCAAGTTACATAACCCCTCTGGGCTTCAGTTTCCCTCACTGAAAACTGGGATAACAGAGCCTATCTCACAGAGTTTTAGTGAAAACAAAAGGGATGATGCCTGGAAAAGTGATTAGTTAGCACCAGGACAGGCTACGCAATTTAAAGAGCAAAAGGAAAACGTGACACCCCTTGTTCAAAAATTATTAAGAGGGGGGTGCCTGAGTGACTCAGTCGTTAAGCGTCTGCCTTCGGCTCAGGTCATGATCCCAGGGTCCTGGGATCGAGCCCCACATCAGGCTCCCTGCTTGGCGGGAAGCCTGCTTCTCCCTCTCCCACTCCCCCTGCTTGTGTTCCCTCTCTCACTGTGTCTCTCTGTGAAATAAATAAATAAAATCTTTAAAAAAAATTATTAAGAGGGTAACAGCAGAGCATTAAACCAAGCCCAGGGCCCTACTAATCTTTGTGACTGCACAGGTTGTGTGCTGTGAACCTTGGCTAACACAGTACCTGAGGCGTGGAGTGTTCAATAAATGTTTATTATTAATTCTGTAGTGTTCCCCCTCTCAAGGATCCCCAAGATCTATTGGTGGAGAAAAATGTTCAACCCGCAAATAACTGCATGAGGAAGAATACATGCTGAGGACGTAACTGGAGTGTTGGGTGTCATTCTAGGATCCACACTTTTAGAAAGAACATTAACAATCCAGATTATGTGAGCTGCTTTTTCATTGAAGACGTTTAAGTGGAATCTGGATGAAAACTGTCAGTTATGGATTAGTTGTTTTTTAATTTTTTGATGGCTGTGATTACCATACAAACATCATTTCTTCAATGGAAAGAACACAGGAGTTTTAGTCAGACATTTCTTATCTAGCTAATAATAAGAGCCACTATCGACTGAGCATTTCCTATTTCTTAGTGTGCAAGATGTTTCCCATATACTATCTCATTGAATTTCCCCAATAGTCTTGGGAGGAAAATGGAACTGTCAACCTGGGTTTCACAGATAAAGAAAACAAGAATCAGAGAGATCAAGTGACTTTCCCAGACTCACCAGCTGGTTAGTGGCAGAGGCAGGGCTCAAACCCAGCCCTGTGTGGATCCAGGCTCATAGGCCCTAAGCATTTTGCTCTGCCTCTGACCAGTTAGGTGATTTTGGTCAGGTTATTTTCCCTGTTCTGGTCTCCAGCTACCTCAAAGGGTGGTAAAATTGGGATAAGGCAAAAGTATGTAAAGCCCTAGGTAGGGTAAAGTATGTGAAACCTCCAGCAAAGTGTCCAAAGGTTATTCCGGGATTTTCTTTCTCTCTCCTGGAGCTAACCTTTGAGCTCTCAACGGTTAACTGGTTTTATCTTTTCTGGAAGGAAATGTAAAGACCTAAAAAGTGCCCACAGTGTTGAGAAAGTAATGAATGGCACAGTAAGGGGACTGCCCAAGACTTGAGGTTCTTGCTTCCCTATAAAAGTGTGAAGTGTTAGTAAAAGGCACTCCCGGCAGAAACAAGCCACCGTCCTTTGGTTCTCCCTGACAGTTTTACTTGACAACAGATATGAAGTGCAGACTGGAGAGCCTTCAAGTGCAAAATCAGGATAAAGAGATACCAAACATCAGTTGGATTTCTAGCCCTAGCTCCTGGAGCCTGAGTGTCATATGAAATAGGTAAAGGACCCGACTGACCACAAATGACCCCACCCTCCAATGCCTGCAACATCCTGTGGATGTTAGAAATCCACGTTCCTGTCACTATCACTGTGACCTGAAAATAAGTCCACTGCTGAACCTCCCCTCGCCTGCTGCGTATCAGATCTCTAATATGAAAACCACTCAAATGCGGGGTTCTGGTAGCTGCATCTGCCCAGTTCTGAAGCACATAAGGAATGATTGCAGAATTTGCATGTTGTCTATAGCTTTTGTTCACCTTTATGCAGGCAGGGAAATTCTATTGATTTTTTGGCCTCTTTATGTTGCCCAGAGGTTGTCAGTGATGCCTAATATGAATCCAGTTGGCACAAGTGTGATCAGATGATCAAGGCTTGTCTCTTTGTACGGTACTACCTACCGCTGCTTCAGCACTGTCTCCTCTGCCCTACAGCCTGGGAGTGGGATGCTAGAATGGGATGGAATGGCTTATTCACATGTGCATTCATTTCTTCTTCAGAAGTGAGGGCAAAGACATTTAACAAAACCTTTACAACCATGCAGATTTCTATCTCCCTCCACCCGTTTTCCACCCTCTGGGAAGTTACAAGGACACCCTCCATGTCCCTCTTCCCTTCCACTTCTTCCCTCCCCATATCCCCTGTAATCATGCAGACAATAAAGGCTGGTCTTTTGGGTGCCCTGGAGAGGCTACTTCCATTGGGGGCTACTTCCAGTGTTCTGGCATCTCCTTGTGAAAAAAGTGTTTCCAATACAATCTTGTATTTCCTTTGGAATGAAATCTTCATCCTTTTTCTAGGTCTTCTTCATTTCCCATTCCTGAAGTCCAGAAAGACAAGACAAATCAGGTTGCTGAATATTCTAGTGTGACTTGCAGAATAAAAACATTCCACTGTACCTAATTACATAAAGAGCTCCACTGGCCAGATTAGAGAGCCATGGGTCCTAGTCTCACCCTCCTTTGGTAGCTGTGGGTAAGTCCTTTCTCCACTCTCATCTTTATGGGTGCTTAAATATCACAAAGTCTGTCTTTCTCAGACAAGGAAACTGAGGCTAGTCTCTGCTTGGCTCTAATGCTGGGGTGAGGTGAGGTAGGAGGCTGAGGAGAGAGAAACCAAAGCAGCTGGGTAAGGAAGGGTGAAGGCAGGCAGCCCACCGGGCTCCATTCTTTCCCCTGGAGCCATGTAGGGCTTCATCTGGGGGGGAGGATACTGAAGTCCTGGCCAGTAGTGAATGGCTTTTTACCCACAAATGATGCTTAGGGTTTTCAGCCAGCTCTGGAAGTGATGGTGTGAACCTGGATAAAATGGGATGGCTCAAACATTCTTACTAGGAGGATTTCCCACTCCCAACCTGCTACTCTTCTCCCAGTCTTCACCATCTAAACTGCAGCTGTTCAGGGCAATGACTTAGGAGTCAGCCTTGATTCCTTTCTTCTCCTCATCCTCCACATCCCCATCAGCAAATCCTTTGGCTTTACATCCAAAGCCAGCCACTTCAAATCACCCCCACTATACCCTTCTCATCTCTCATCTGGACGACTCCTAACTGGTTTCCCCTATCCCCTTATCAGTTCTCAACATTGTTCCAGAATGGTTTTTTGTGTTTTTTTTTTTTAAGGGAGAGAGAGCACACGTGAGACGGGGAGGGGAAGAGGGAGAGAATCTTAAGTAGGCTCCACGCCCAGCGTGGAGTCTGATGCGGGGCTCGACCTCACGACCCTGAGATCATGACCTTGAGATCACAACCTGAGCCAAAATCAAGAGTCTGACACTTGGGACACCTGGGTGGCCCAGTTATTGGGTGTCTGCCTTCGGCTCAGGTCATGATCTTGGAGTCCTGGGATCGAGCCCCGCATTGGGCTCCTGGCTCAGCGGGAAGCCTGCTTCTCCCTCTCCCACCCCCCCGTTTGTGTTCCCTCTCTTGCTGCTATGTCTCTCTCTGTCAAATAAATAAAAAATCTTAAAAAAAAAAAGAGTCTGACACTTAACCGACTGAACCACCCAGGCACCCCCAGAATGGTCTTTTATTTTTTATTTATTTTTTATTATTTAAATATTTATTTAAAAAATTTTTTTTAAAGATTTTATTTGTCAGAGAGAGAGAGCACAAGTAGGGGAAGCAGCAGGCAGAGGGAGAAGCAGGCTCACCACTGAGCAAGGAGCCCGATGTGGGGCTCCATCCCAGGACCCTGGGATCATGACCTGAACCGAAGGCAGATGCTTAACCAACTGAGCCACCCAGGCATCCCCAGAATGGTCTTTTAAAAATGTAATTCATATCTACAGATTTTTTTGTTCAAAACTTGCCAATGACTTTCCATTATGTTAGAACAAAATTCACAGTTCTCCCAATGGCCTACAAGGATCAGAGAGAAACAAACTGGCCTACAGGCCATATCTGGCCCACTGTGTGTTTTTGTAACACCCATCAACTAAGAATGGTTTTTACATTTCTAAATGTTTGAAAACATATCAAAAGAATAATAATTTTTCTCAGCATGTGAAAATTGTATGAAATTCAAATCTCAGTGTCCATAAATAAAATTCTATTGGGACACAGCCATGTCCATCATTTGTTTACAAGTTGTCTACTTTCCTGCTACAGTGGCAGAGCTGAGTCATCCTGAAAGAAACTCTGTGGTCCACAAGCTCTCAAATATTGACTATAGACAAAGTTTGCTGCTGTCTGGTCTAGATGATCTAGCCTCTGGCTGGTTACTTTTCTAATCTCATGTCCTAATGCTCAGGTGTTTGTTTTTCAAGTCCACAATTTCTTTCTTTTCTTTCTTTCTTTTTTTTTTTAAGATTTTATTTATTCATTTGAGAGAGAAAGAGAGAGAGAGCATGAGCAGGGTGGAGGAGCAAGGGGAGAGGGAAAAGCAGGTTCCCCGCGGAGCAGGGAGCCCAAAGAGGTGCTCCATCCCAGGACCCTGGGATCATGACCTGAGCTGAAGGTAGATCCTTAACCAACTGAGCCACCCAGGTACCCCTCAAGTCCACAATTTCTTATCCCCAATTCTGAAATCCAGAAAGCCCTGAAACCAAGATTTTTCTCAAGTGTGTGTTTTGGCACAAACACAATTGGTGCAAAGCCTGACCTGAACTGATGTGAGGCTGTTTATAATCTACTCCACATGGTGTGAGTATTCGTGTGCCTTCTTGTAGAATTCTTAACATGTTTGTTTTCAGGGTACTTCCTGAGAACTTTCTGGGGTTTTTCATCATATACAGTATATGTACCATATTATCTTTCTAAAATCCCAAAAGTTCTGGAACATAGCTGGCCCCAAGAGGATTGGACCGGGGGCCAGTATCATGGAGTGAGCCTGGGACTTTGAACTGGAAGAGGTGGGGCCAAGAACTTCTTGGTGAGGTTCCATAGAAAGGAGGCTGCCAGATCTCTGGATTTTAATTTGCTGAGCTATCGCTGTACCTTGGCTTTCTGTAGCACCCTTCCTTGGTTGGAGGTTACGATGGATGGGCTTCTCTTCCTCAGCTCAGAAATACAGTTGACAGGGACAGGTTGCTCTGGGGCATTGTTCTGGGGTTTATTTGCAGTTTCCTGTTGATGAGGAGAAATAAATACATAGGTGAGGCCTAATGATGGCTACCCACACCTGGCTTGCCCTCCAAAGAATGCAAATAGAAGGTGCTGTGCACACATGCCAGCACCAAACAGGGCGAAGGGAGGAAGACCACTCGAGGGCCTTGGAATAAAAGTAATGACGTCTAAAATTACTGACCCCTCACTATGCACCAGGCTTTGGGTGGATTAGCTCATTTAGCCTTTCCAAGCCTATGAAGTAGGTACCATTATTAGGCATCCTATTTTGCAGATAAGGAAAATGGGAAGGTCAAGTCACTGCTCAAGGTCACACAGCTGGTGAGTGGGAGAGCCGGGATTCAAACCCCACCGCCCTCTCTCTTCACCTCTCCCCTGTATTCCTTCTCTTCTACAGTGCCTTCACCCCTTAACTTTTCCAGATAGTTGCTTAGTACATTACTGGATGTAGTTCCTTAAGCGTAGCATATTAATGGCTAAGCCTGCAGGGACTTTAGAGAAGATTTCTCTTTATCTCCAAAGGCCAGCAAAAAGGATCACAAGTAGTGGGAAAAGCCGTCTGGAATGTAAATTTCAGGGCACACTGGCGGGAGGAAGCAGCTGGGATGAGTGAACCACTTCTAGCTCCTCCTCCAGCCCTCTGTGGGTTTGCCTTTGTCCTTTAAGCTCTTCATCTGTAACTGAGGTTGGAAAGCCCCATGGAGAGGAAGCAGGGGGGCAGAAGGCTTCGGAGACATCAGGTGTAGTCTGACCGGTAACGAGGCCTCGGACAACAACAGTAAGAATGCAGTTCCCAGTGACAACTCAAATCTATCAGACAAGTTATTTCATCTCTCTGAATCTCCATGTCCTTGTCTGAAAGCAGGCATAACTTTTATTCATTCAACAAACATTTGTTGCACTCCTAATCTGCAGACTCTGTAAAAGGCTAAGGCTATAATGACAAAACAGACATAGTCCAATTTTTAATAAAAATACAATCCAGTGGGGGAGACAGACATTAGACAAGTAAGGACACACATAAGTGAGGATACACACACATACACACACACACACATATCCATATACACATGTTTACATAAATTGTGGCTAAGTGCTATGAGAAAGAATAACACATAGGACTCCTGGTAATTTAGACCAGTGGTTCCCAAATGGGGGCGATTTTGCCCTTCTAGGGGACGTTTGGCAATTTCTGGAGACATTTCTGGTTGTCAGCTCGGTGTGGAGCTACTGGCATCTAGCAGGTAGAAGCTCGGAATGCTGCTAAACATCCTACAATGCACATGGCAGTCCCCTATAAAAAGAATTATTGGCCCCAAATGTCAGTAGTGCCGAGGTTGAGACACTCAGATGGAGACGGAGGTCAGCCAAGTTCTCCCCGGGGAGTTCTCGGTCGGGGTGAGAGTATCCACCTTGCAGGCTGCTTGGAGCACTGGAGATGATGCATCTGCAAAGCCCAGAGGATGGCCTGGGACACCGGGGGCCCTAAGACAGGGCATGCGTACCGTGGCTAACGCCAGGCTCTGGAGTCAGACGTCCTGGATTGCGAATCCTGTCTCCTACTTAACTGAATGACGTTGAGTAAGTCCAACATCTCTACCTCCGTTTCCTTGTACAGCCAGTGGTGCCAATACACCTAGCCCTACCTCCCGGGCCTACCGTGAAGATCGTATGAGGTAACAGAAGTTAAAATGCTGTACTGACCTATGGTTATTGTTCAACACACACTTGTTATTCTTACTCAACATATCGTAGTTATACTTATCAGTAACCCAAAGGCTACTTCTAGGATCACATTCAGGATAAAATGGCAGGGCTGCGGGGGGAGACAACACAGGCCAGAACTTGCTCTGAGAGTCCCCTCCCTAGCGGTGCCATCTGCTCTTTGGGAGGCTCTCTTTTGGCATGTTCCCGCTCCTCTTTGGGTGTCCGCTTGCTCATCTGTAAATAAGTATAATTCCTACCCCCAAAGAGTGATCATGAAGATCTATAGCTTGTGAGGGGATTAAGAAGCAGCTGCCTCTGGCCCAGAACGGCATGGACTCACCCCACTCTTGTTCTTGCTGCCCACAGAGAGGCCCAGGGCTGGGCCCCCTGCCAGGGATCGCTGCAAGCGCTCCTTCACAGCCACCAGTCGCAGCTCCAGGTCGATCCGGCGCTCCTCCTTTGCCCGACACTGAGCTTCCAGGGTGGCCACGGCCTCCTCCAGAACCTTTAACTTCGCTCCTGTGTGTCCAGAGACATGCGTGAGAAACAGCCGAGCCTGGCCTGAAGCCTCAGGGAATTCGGCAGGACCTCAGGTTCTAGTCTGTCCCTACCAGAGGGTTTTTCCAGCCCTTAGTTCCGACTCAGAGATGGACTCTGGGTCTGGGGTTCCAGCTCCATGCTGGGTTGTATAGTTTTTTACCTGCTCTGTACCTATTTCCCCACCTTCTGGATATAGAACCTTGATTTTCCCCTGGGAAACCACTTTCTCCTCCCATTCCCTCTAGTTTGGATGGAACTGACCTCACTTTTAGTTCAAGGGGTTGGCACATAACTTGGACGTGGTCCATAACCTATCTCCATTTTCTGGTCACAGTGGTTGGTTTAGAGATCAAAGTTGGTCCAATCAGAGTGAATCCTGAGGCTTTTGCGGGGTCCATTGGGAAGAGAAGTTTTCTCTGCTAGGGTGGCTGAGAGGATTGGGTGAGGGCTAGAGCTATGTAGCCATTATGCCACCACGAGGGGCACAGAATGAAGCCAACATAGAGGAAGGCAGAAGCCAGAATGAGAGAAATATACTTTCTGGTGATATCATTTAAATCTCTGGAACTTGCTATACCTGATTGCTCAGTTTTCCAATTAAATTTTTCTTTTCTTTCTTTTAAATAAGGTCTAAGCCCAATATAGGGCTTGAACTCATGACCCTGAGGTCAAGAGGTGTATGCTTTACCAACTGAGCAAGACAGGTACCCCTACATTTTTCTTTTCATTTCTATATTTTTAATGCTTTTTTTTAATTTCTTTTTTTTTTAAAGATTTATTTATTTTAGAGAGAGAGAGAGCAGGGGAAGGGGCAAAGGGAGAGGGAGAGAAGCAGACTCCCCGCTGTGCACGAAGCCCAACGCTAGGCTGGGCTCTGGGCTCAATCTCATGGCCTTGAAATCAGGACCTGAGCTGAAATCAAGAGTACAACACTCAACTGGCTGAGCCACCCAGGTGTCCGTCTTTTCATTTCTAGGCCAGTTTCACTTTGGTTTCTCTTACTTGTAACTGAGTTATAATCCCCTACTGGGGTTTTGCTGCTTTTCAATCTAAACTAACAAACCTGTATTAGTATCTTTTCATGCCAAGAGTTGTGTTGGGTCTTAGCAGGTTTAAAAGTTAGTTTCATTCATTCATTCATTCATTCATTCATTCATTCTATTCAGTAAATACTTATTGGGTTTTTAGTGCTTACTTTGTACCAGGTGCTGTGACAAAACAGGCCAAGACACGAAATTCATATCTTTCAGTGGTTACCCTGAATGTAAATGGGCTATAAATGCCCCAATCAAAAGACACAAAATATCAGATTGGATAAAAAAAACAAGACCCATTGATAGGCTGTCTGCAAGAGACTCATTTTAGACCCAAAGACACCTCCAGATTTAAAGTGAGGGGGTGGAAAACCATTTACCATGTTAATGGACATCAAAAGAAAGCTGGGGTGGCAATCCTTATATCAGACAAATTAGATTTTAAACCAAAGACTATAATGAGAGATGAGGAAGGACACTATATCCTACTTAAAGGGTCTATCCAACAAGAAGATCTAATCGTTTTAAATATTTATGCCCCTAACATGGGAGCAGCCAATTATATAAGCCAATTAATAACAAAATCAAAGAAACACATTGACAATAATACAATAATAGTAGGGGACTTTAACACCCCCGTCACTGAAATGGACAGATCATCTAAGCAAAAGTTCAACAAAGAAATAAAGGCTTTAAATGACACACTGGACCAAATGGACTTCACAGACATATTCAGAACATTCCATCCCAAAGCAACAGAATACACATTCTTCTCTAGTGCACATGGAACATTCTCCAGAATAGATCACATCCTGGGTCACAAATCAGGTCTCAACTGGTACCAAAAGATTGGGATCATTCCCTGCATATTTTCACACCACAGTGCTTTGAAACTAGAAGTCAATCACAAGAGGAAAGTTGGAAAGAACTCAAATACAGGGAGGCCAAAGAGCATCCTACCAAAGAATGAATGGGTCAATCAGGAAATTAAAGAAGAATTTAAAAAATTCATGGAAACCAATGAAAATGAAAACACAACTGTTCAAAATCTTTGGGATGCAGCAAAGGCAGTCCTAAGAGGAAAGTATATAGCAATACAAGTCTTTCAAGAAACAAGAAAGGTCTCAAATACACAACCTAACCCTACACCTAAAGGAGCTGGAGAAAGACAAGCAAATAAAGCCTAAACCCAGCAGGAGAAGAGAAATAATAAAGATCAGAGCAGAAATCAATGAAATAGAAACCAAAAGAACAGTAGAACAGATCAACGAAACTAGGAGCTGGTTCTTTGAAAGAAATAACAAGATTGATAAACCCCTGGCCAGACTTATCAAAAAGAAAAGAGAAATGACCCAAATAAATAAAATCATAAATGAAAGAGGAGAGATCACAACCAACACCAAAGAAATACAAACAATTTTAAGAACATATAATGAGCAACTATATGCTAGCAAATTAGACAATCTGGAAGAAATGGATGCATTTGTAGAGATGTATAAACTACCAAAACTGAACCAGGAAGAAATAGAAAACCTGAACAGACCCATAACCAGCAAGGAAATTGAAGCAGTAATCAAAAATCTCCCAATAAACAAGAGCCCAGGGCCAGATGGCTTCCCAGGGGAATTCTACCAAACATTTCAAGAAGAATTAATACCTAGTCTTCTGAAACTGTTCCAAAAAACAGAAATGGAAGGAAAACTTCCAAACTGATTTTATGAGGCCAGCATTACCTTGATCCCAAAACCAGACAAGGACCCCATCAAAAAGGTGAATTACAGACCAATATCCCTGATGAACATGGATGCAAAAATTCTCACCAAAATACTAGCCAATAGGATCCAACAGTACATTAAAAGGATTATTCACCACAACCAAGTGGGATTTATTCCTGGGCTGCAAGTTTGGTTCAACATAAGCGAATCAATCAATGTGATACATTACATTAATAAAAGAAAGAACAAGAACCATATGATATTCTCAATAGATGCAGAAAAAGCATTTGACAAAGTACAGCATCCTTTCTTGATTAAAACTCTTCACAGTGTAGGGATAGAGGGTACATACCTCAATATCATTAAAGCTATCTATGAAAAACCCACAGCGAATATCATTCTCAATGGGGAAAAACTGAGAGCTTTTTCCCTAAGGTCTGGAACACACCAGGGATGTCCACTATCACTACTACTATTCAACATAGTACTAGAAGTCCTAGCCTCAGCAATAAGACAACAAAAAGAAATAAAAGGCATCCGAATCGGCAAAGAATAAGTCAAACTCTCACTCTTTGCAGATGATATAATACTTTATGTGGAAAACCCAAAAGACTCCACCCCAAAACTGCTAGAACTCATACAGGAATTCAGCAAAGTGGAAGGACATAAAATCAATGCGTAGAAATCAGTTGCATTTCTATACACCAACAACAAGACTGAAGAAAGAGAAATTAAGGAGTTGATTCCATTTACAATTGCACCCCAAACCATAAGATACCTAGGAATAAATCTAACCAAAGAGGCAAAGAATCTGTACTCAGAAAACTATAGAATACTCATGAAGGAAATTGAGGAAGACACAAAGAAATAGAAAAACGTTCCATGCGCATGGATTGGAAGAACAAATATTGTGAAAATGTCTATGCTACCTAGAGCAATTTACACATTTAATGCAATCCCTATCAAAATACCATCCACTTTTTTCAAAGAAATGGAACAAATAACCCTAAAATTTGTATGGAACCAGAAAAGACCCCAAATAGCCAGAGGAATGTTGCAAAAGAACAGCAAAGCTGGTGGCATCACAATTCCGGACTTCAAGCTCTATTACAAAGCTGCAGTCATCAAGACAGTATGGTACTGGCACAAAAACAGACACAAAGATCAATGGAACAGAAGAGAGAGCCCAGAAATGGACCCTCAACTCTATGGTCAACTAATCTTCGACAAAGCAGCAAAGAATGTACAATGGAGAAAAGACAGTCTCTTCAACAAATGGTGTTGGGAAAATTGGACAGCCACAGGCAGAAGAATGAAACTGGACCATTTCCTTACACCACACACAAAAATAGACTCAAAATGGATGAAAGACCTAAATGTGAGACAGGAATCCATCAAAATTCTTGAAGAGAACACAGGCAGGAACCTCTCTGACCTCAGCCGCAGCAACTTCTTAGAAACATCGCCAAAGGCAAGGGAAGCAAGGGCAAAAATGAACTATTGGGACTTCATCAAGATAAAAAGCTTTTGCACAGCAAACAGTCAACAAAACCAAAAGACAACCAACAGAATGGGAGAAGACATTTGCAAATGACATATCAGATAAAGGGCTAGTATCCAAAATCTATAAAGAACTTATCAAACTCAACACCCAAAGAACAAGTAATCCAATCAAGAAATGGGCAGAAGATATGAACAGACATTTCTGCAAAGAAGACATCCAAATGGGCAACAGACACATGAAAAAGTGCTCAACATCACTCAGCATCAAGGAAATCCAAATCAAAACCTCAATGAGATACCACCTCACACCAGTCAGAATGGCTAAAATGAACAAGTCAGGAAACGACAGATGTTGGCGAGGATGCAGAGAAAGGGGAACCCTCCTACACTGTTGGTGGGAATGCAAGCTGGTGCAGCCACTCTGGAAAACAGTATGGAGTTTCCTCAAAAAGTTGAAAATAGAGCTACCCTATGACTCAGCAATTGCACTACTGGGTATTTACCCCAAAGATACAAATGTAGTGATCCGAAGGGGTACGTGCACCCCAATGTTTATAGCAGCAATGTCCACAATAGGCAAACTCTGGAAAGAGCTTAGATGTCCATCAACAGATGAATGGATAAGAAGATGTGGTGTATATATACACAACGGAATATTAGGCAGCCATAAAAAAATGAAATCTTGCCATTTGCGATGATGTGGATGGAACTAGAGGGTATTATGCTAAGCGAAATAAGTCAATTAGAGAAAGACAAGTATCATATGATCTCACTGAGATGTGGAATTTGAGAAACAAGACAGAGGATCATAGGGGAAGGGAGGGAAAAATGGAACAAGATGAAACCAGAGAGGGAGAGAAACCATAAGAGACTCTTAATCTCAGGAAACAAACTGAAGGTTGCTGGAGTGGTGGGGGTGGGAGGGATGGGGTGGCTGGGTGATGGACGTTGGGGAGGGTATGTGCTATGGCGAGTGCTGTGAATTGTGTAAGACTGATGAATCACAGACCTGTACCCCTGAAACAAATAATACATTATATATTATTAAAAAAACAAAACAAAACAAAACAGGCTAAGATCCTTGCCCTTATGGAGCTCATATTTGTGTGTGTGCGTGTGTGTGTATGAGAGAGAGAAAAAACAATAAATAAAAATGATAATAGGGGCGCCTGGGTGGCTCTGTTGGTTAAGCGACTGCCTTCAGCTCAGGTCATGATCCTGGAGTCCCGGGATCGAGTCCCACATCGGGCTTCCTGCTCAGCAGGGAGTCTGCTTCTCCCTGTGACCCTCTTCCCTCTCGTGCTCTCTGCCTCTCATTCTCTCTCTCTCTCAAATAAATAAATAAAAATCTTTAATAAAAAAATAAAATAAAATAAAAAATGATAATAAATAAAACATAATAAATAATCCAGTGTTACAAAGTGATGTGCTATAGAAAAAAATTGAGCAGGGTAAGGAGGATAATCAGCCTGTTCCAAACCCTGTTTTGACTGTTAGAAAGTCCTCTGTATTGAGACCAAACTGCCTTCTTTTTTTTTTTTTTTCTCTCTCTTAATGCTTCCCTCCCACAGATTCTGGTTCTTGGCTACACAGAAGAAGCCTTACCCTTTAAGCTAGAAGTTCTCTGTTAGGTGTATGGATTCCTAGGCAATCTATGGCTGAGCTCTGTGGGACATGAGCTCTTGGCTACTGAAACTGTCTGTGACATTATGAAATGTGGGATTTTTTTTCCCCTTGGGAAAAGGGTCTATAGGTTCCATCAGATTCTCACCGGGCTGTGTGACCTTGGATGTATTTTATAAAGGACAAGGCTTCTGTTCCCTCAAGCCTGTGTGCAAACTTCAGGCTGAAAGTATGCCAAACTCCAGCTATAGAGAGAATTCAAAGGAAAGAGCAGAAGGTGGGGGTGCAGAGGAGCCCGGAGCAGGCTGGGCCTGCAGGAGTCATGGCCCTGGATTTTGGAAGAGGATCCTGGGACTGTGTCTGTCCATCATTCCCCAGCAAGGGGACCAGTGTCTCACACGGTTGGGTGCTCAGCCCTTCCGTGAATGAGTGACTTAATGGGAGGTTCAAAATTATATCTCTTATTTCCTTGATTCTAAGGCACACTCATTTTAACATTTCTAAAATCAGATTGAATTTTACTACATTAAGTGTACACATTTTTGTGATGACTTTTCATCCCCTTACCCAAAAGCAATTATTAGACTGACAGCACTTTCATTAGTCAGGAAGGAAGATGACGATGATGTTGAGGAAGAGGAGAAGGAGGAGAGGGAGGAGGAAGAAGGGGAGGAGAAGCGCACCGTCCCGGATAACCGGTTGACCTCTGCCACGGGAGGTGTCAGGGCTGAGCCCGGGCCCCCGCAGTAGTGCCCAGGACGTGCCCACGTAGGTACCTGGGTTGTTGCGAATGGCTCCCTTCAGCTCCCTCTTCTCCTGCCTCAGTGCCATCAGCTCTGTCCGGATTGTCTCCTTCTCCTTTTCCAGCTTCTCTTTTTCTACCAGGTACCTCCGGGCATCTTCCTCCGCTCGGTTCTTGCCGTACTTGTATTGATTGGCACCTGCAGAGGTAGAAGGCAGGCAAAGGCCCCCATTTCTGATCTCCGGTAAGGGTACTTGGAGGGGCCTTAGCGTCTTTCTCAGCCTCAACTTCTCCATCTGTAAAATGGGAATACTTAGATCTATATCCTTAGTGTGTGAACCCTCCAAGGAAACAGGAGCAAAAGGGAGGCAGCAGAGCACAGGGACTACGAACAAGGGCTTTGGAACGAGGCTGACCAAGGTTTGTGTTCTCTTTCCCCCTTTACCAGTTGTGTGACATCAGGCAACAGTGAACTGTGCTGTTTCTGTGCCTTTCCCCCAGGTCTTGGTTTCCTCATTTGTAAGTGTGGGACTATTGATCAAATTTACCTCTTAGCATCGTGGTGAGTTTTTAAAAATATTTTTGAAGATTCTATCCATTTATTTGAGAGAGAGAGAGAGCAGAGAGGGAGACTGAGGGGTGCAAGTAGACTCCCCACTGAGCAGGGACCCCCCCCAATGCGGGACTCGGTCCCAGGACCCTGGGACCATGACCTGAGCCGAAGGCAGCCGCTTAACCAACTGAGCCACCCAAGTGCCCCAGCATTGTGATAAGTTTTAAATGAAAGAATTCATGAAAAATATTTGATATGGTATCTGGTGGAAGTGCTAAGTAAATGTCAGATAATGATATGAAACAGATTTTGTGATATATAACACACTTTAGTTTTAAAAGGGCATTTTACAGTCAACTCTCAGGTATATATAAGACAAGGAGACAGGGACATACAACTCAGAGCTGCAGAGAATCAAGACCTCGGGCAGAAGTCAGGTATTGACTGTTTTATTCCTGGAAAATGGGTCGGGGGAGAGAAGGGCCCAGAAGTCTGTTGCAGGCTCTACATTATGGTGAACAATTACAAATAACTATGGCAAAAATTTATCAAGCATTTACTATAAGCTAGGCCATTTATATTCATTTCCACTTAATCTTCATTAAACTTACTATTATTAGCTCTGAGGCACAGAGAGCTCAGGTCTCACTGCTAACGATGGCAGAGCCCAGTTTGAGCCCATATGTGTCTAAATCGGGGCTCTGTGCCAGGCATTACTGCTCTAGCTGGAGCAATGCCATGGTCCAACGTTTCAGGGAAATTTTTATTTATTTATTTTATTTATTTTATTTTGTTTTATTTTTTTTAAGATTTATTTATTTATTTATTCGAGAGAGAGAGAATGAGAGATAGAGAACACGAGAGGGAAGAGGGTCAGAGGGAGAAGCAGACTCCCTGCTGAGCAAGGAGCCCGATGTGGGACTTGATCCCAGGACTCCAGGATCATGACCTGAGCCGAAGGCAGTCGCTTAACCAACTGAGCCACTCAGGTGCCCTTTATTTATTTATTTTTTTCAGACTGTCACTCACAGCCCTTTTAAGCTGGCGGGGTGTGGCGTTTGGAATGATTCCCTTGGTTTACTGATAAATGGGGTCTTGTCTCTCTAACTCTCGTAGGGACTGCAGTGGCCACCCAGTGACGCATGCAATAATCAATTCCTGTCCCAACTACCCTGCAGTTCAAGCTTGATCATAATAAATAAAGCATGGGGGGCAGAGAAGGGGCCCCATACTTCCCCCAACTGCCTAGATACACGGTAGCATCCCAGGGGATTTTTCTCCCAGAAGTTTGGATTTTATAGACTGGTAAACTAAAAATAAATGGGTAGACCAGCAAAGTGTTGTCAGTATTATATTTATCAGATAAGGACCTTAAAACCCCCAACCACCATCTGCAATTCCCAGTATTTCATATCTCTTTCATACATCACTCAATATAACATTTGATTTGAAGAAAGAATCTGTTGTGTTATCTTTGTTGTTGTTGTTTGAATGTTTTATGATTTCTTTAATCTTACATGTTTATTTCAGTTTACTTTTCCATTTAATTTTTTAATTTTTATTTTTAATTTTGGAGAGAGAGTGAGCGAGCATGAGCATGAGTGGGGGGTGCAGAGAGGGAGAAAGAATCATAAGTAGACTCCATGCTCAGCGCAGAGCTCAATGTGGGGCTTGACCTCAGACCCTGAGATCACAACCTGAGCCAAAATCAAGAGTCAGATGCTTAACCACCTGAGCCACCCAGGCACTGCTACTTTTCCATTTGAAAATGGGCATTCCATAAAGGCCTGTATTTCCGGTGGTGCCGATGAGAGCAGAGTGTAAGGAATGTGACACAACCACCCTCTGACTGTGCAGGGGGAAAACTCAGGCCCAGAGAGGGGAAGGGACTTTTCCAAAGTTACGTAGTAATTTAATGATCAAGTGGGGAATGGAATACAGGTCTCCTGACCCCCAGAAGAGATTATCTACATGAATGAAGTGGAGATCTAATAAAGAAAAGTACTTGGAAAGATAAATCTTCAAAAAGCAAGGAATAGAACTTGACTGTGTTCGGGGGCAGGGGGAAGAAATGTAAAGCAGTAACTAAAAGGCTCTTGGAATATGCTGTCCTATAGGAAGCTGGCCGGCTCGTGAATCACACAGGAGCAGAGATTAGGATTGGAAATCAAACAGAATTGACCAGAGTCTGGCATGCTTAGCCTTTATTGTACAGTGTGGCAATCAGGCAAAATTCACTCAGCTCCTATATGGGGTGCTAGGGAGAGCGCGGGCTGGGACACAGAGGTGAGCCATGCCCTTCGCGGCTGCTGCCTTGAGGGTATTTGGAGAGTTCGTTTCTCCACTTGCTCCCCCAGATCAGAATTTATAAATGTTTTTAGCCTTTGGAACAGACAGAAGTTGAGGGTGAATTTTATATGTGTATCCATATATATGCAACATTGCAGCATCAAAACGTATTTGGCCTTCATGTTAAAATTTTGAAAATTAGTTGCTAGTATTAAGAAGTCAGTAGATTTCCTATAAAGGCTAGATTTCTGGTCTCGAATAATCTGTGAACCTGGGCTGCCGGGTTCCGTGGCTGAAGCCACGGGAGCCACTGGCTGAAGCTGAGTGGTAGCCACCCCTCTAGGTGGAGGCTGAGCACTCCACGTTCCCAGTCTTCCCCCCACCCCATTCCGTGTTGTTCCCCCTCGGAGGCCACAGCCTAGCTGCCCTTTAGCACTTGGCTTGTGCTGTCATTTTTCTTATGGTAGAGTAGTTTCTTAACATCTCATTTCACTCCTTAATTTACTTGCCCACTGCCTGGAGGAATCTGATTTGAGATCCCCGACCCCGTGGATTGTTTCTTTCCCTTCCTCGCTCCCACCCAGAACTCACTGGAGGCATGGCGCTTGACTTTGACCTGCGGATCCACTCGATGGGACTTCTCACTGCAGGAGGAGGCATGGCGTTTCACCTGGGCCCCCGCGGGACGCTCAGGCTCCTCATCCTGCAGGAGATGGAGAAAGGAGGTGAAGTGCAGGTAGGCTCAGAGCCCTCCAGGCAGGGGTGTATTCTGCTCCAAATGTGGTGGGTGAGCATTGCAGGACCTCTGAGATCGTGGCCTTACGTTTTTAGACTGGGGCTGCACTCAACAGTTTATAGACTACTTCTACTAGCATGTATCATTTGATCCTCATACCTTCCTGTTGGGGGCTGCAGAAGGTGCCCCTAAACTGGAATATCTGCTGAGAGGAAAATTTGGAAGTCTCAGAGGGCTGTGGGTGACCATATTTGATTTATCATAGCTATTTCTGTCTTCACATCATTTGGAAGTGTCCTTCACATTTTCTGAAATTGCTAAATGTAGAGCTCCCAGTTAAGATAAAAAGTCGTGGATGATATCAGCCAATCGTGGAAGTTACATAACTTAATAAACTGGCTCTACATTTTTAAAAAAGATTTTATTTATTTATTTGAGAGAGAGAGGGGAGAGTGTGCGAGCAGGGGAAGAGGCAGAGGGAGAGGGAAAAGCAGGCTCCCCGCTGAGCAAGGAGCCAGACATTCCAGTGCGACCCCAGGACCCTGAGATCATGACGTGAGCTGAAGGCAGATGCTTAACTGACTGAGCCACCCAGGCGCCGCTAAACTGGCTATACATTTGTGCATGAAGAGTATTAAGAACATCCAGAATCCAGTCAGAGCTCAGGGAACCATGAATGGAATATGATAATAATGTAATATAATAATGATATTGATAACAATAGTACTATTTACTCCATGTGAGAGCTTCTGATGTCTATGTGCTGCTAAGCTCTTTCCATACAGTATTTCATTTAGTTCTTGCAGTGATCCAATCAGGTAGGTTTTCTAGTATTCGTCTGGAGCCAGGAAATGAGGACTAGAGAAGTGAAGCCCAAGGTAACCCAGATTCAGTCCTGAATTCAAAGTTCATGCCGTTAGGTACTAAGCTGTCTGGCTACTAATCACTGCAATTGAGAAAGATCTCAAGCTGCATCCACTGGTTCATCTGAATCTGAAGAAAGACCACATAAACAGAAGAAGGATGGAGAAGTTTCTAGAAAAGGGAGTCTTAGAGGTGCGAGCTCGGTGTCATCCAGCACTGTCCAAGCCAGGGGGTCTGGCGTGCAGACATGTCTGCTTTCTTTGGCAGCTTGATCCCCTCTTTTTCTCTCTCCCAGCTGTGAGGCCTGACGCACCCACCAGGGTCTGATCGGAATGTGGCTGTCTGGCTCTCCCATGGGAGGAGAAGACATAGGACATGCTGCCAGAGGCAGTCTGTTCATGTGATGGCTACCGAGACCTCGCTGGCCTCTCCTTGATTTAGTGAACAAGACAGGGAGACTCTGTCTTGGGAGCTGAGGCCCAGACCGTGATGCCACCAGGTGAAGGTCTATGGAGTGGCCACCCCCCAGGCACCACTGAGTCAGCAGCATCAGCTCACAGAGCTGTGAACCAGTGGAGAGCCCAACACCTTGCTCAGACCGGTGTACAGAGTCCTCTCCTCTTCCGGATCTAGGGAGCTTCTCGCTGTACTACCCTGCCTCCTCTCCCAGGGAGTCCTTACCCAGAGCCATGATCTATGATAAGAAGGGTCCTCCCTCCCCTTCCAGCTGCTGCTTAAATGGAAATTATCCCTGATGTACAGGAAAAAAGGAGTGGTGACAGAGAGAATGAGGAAGAGCTAAATCAGTGGCCTTTGTCACATTCCCAGCCCTCCCAAGGGAGCGCACCTGTATCTTTTCATAAGGAACATCATCGTACACACGGGGCTCAGGCCACTGATCCTGGCAGGATCTTGCATATCTAGAAAATATAAGGTGTCATGATGATGGCAATGATGATGACACTTTGTGGCTTATAGAGCTTTCCTGTCTACTCTCATTTGATTCTGTGATGGGTGTTGGAAGGTTAGTAACAGCAACCATGCCAAGCAGCGCTGGGCCATTGCTGTGTTAAGGCCTTCAGAGGCAGGGAGCCCCATGATTCTTACAGCAACCCAAGAGGTGAGTAATTCATCCCCTCCATTCTATAAGCGAGGACACAGAGGATCCAAGCTGGCAAGCAACCCCCCCAAGCTGTTGGTCGTGAGAGCCGTGACTTGAACCCGGCTCTTCCAATGCATGGAACAGCCCTGATGGCCAAGGGTGTGAGACCCTGAGGTTCCATGGCATGAGAGCCCAGCCCCAGTCGCTACGCAGAAGGACTTCTTCTCCTTTGCTCATTGCATCCACAGCTTCCCCCAACCCTGGGCTACCTCTGTTAGCCAGCTCGCTCCTGCCTGCTGGAGGAGGAAGGCACCCACTCTGACTTCCCAAGGAAGCAGAGTCCTCCTCGGCTCCTCCTCCCTCCCCTCCCAGCACCCATGGCCGGACACAGAGGCTCTGAGAGGCTGCCGGGGGTGGGGGGTGCTGGGGGTGCCGGCCCTCACAGGAAGGAGTTGCGCCCTGCACTGACGATGCTGGTTAAGGTCTCCACATCCACGTAGTCATAGTGCAGTGCCTCGGGAGTGACTTTGGAGCCCATCTCCACCAGCAACAGCCCAAGCCAGCGGCCCATGTCCTCTGAGCAGTTTGCCTGAGGGAGAGGAGGCACAGGCTGATGAGTTCACTTTGGTACTGTTAGGACATCAGGCTACCTGCTCACTTTAGCCAAACCCATATTTGTGAAGTACCGGCTATGTACCCAATACTTAGGGGTCCAAGAGGAACAGGGCTGCAACACACACCCAGAAATCCAAGTGGCTTCCACCCTTTCTTTATTCAGATTTTGGCTCTAATGCTCCTCTTCAGAGAAGCCCTCCCTGACCACCTCTCTAAGACACACACCCTCACGCACTATCCTCAGAGCCTTCATGACCATTTAGGTGCGAAAACAACATTTGGGTTTCCCTGAATTAAAAAAAAAATTACTTTTTTATTAGAGGAGACTATTTCTCACATAACCCAATCGAAATTTTTCCCTTATAAATGCCAATTATTTGTAGTACTAGTATACAGGAAAACTGCCAAGAAGTTGCTGGTTAACTGAACCCATAGTTCTAGGTAGCTCTCATTTAAAGAGCATTCTCATAAAATCAGCTGACCACACAAATGCTAGACTTGAATAAAGGAAGCACACTTCTTGCCAGAAAGCTCTGTGTTTAATTTAAGAGAAATAAGAGACCCGTCTCAACCTATCAAAAATAAAAGTGAGTGACCAAGGCAATATTTCTTGAAATTTAAAAACTGGGTGAGGCAGTGGGTACTGGGCAAGGCAAACAAGATCAAGAGGCTGGGTTCTTGTTCTAGGATCAGGCCAAGAGGCCTCTGACTCCCTAGGAGCCTTGGACAAAGCACCTGGCTGCCCTGGCCTCAGTTACCCTGTTTGTAATATGAGGGGATAGTTCTTGAACTTTCCCTCCAGTGTTTACATTTTAAATCTTAAAAAGCCAAATGAGGGACAGACATGTAGAGGAGAGACTCCATGCATCGTGCAGGACCTCAGAGAGGAGGGCGAATGCCACTGGGTAGGAACGACCATGAATGGGTGGGATGAAATCACATTTTCATTCAGCCATTTGTTCAACAAATAGTAATTGAGCCTTTAATATGGGCTGGGCATCATGCTGGGTTCTGGAAAAACCAAAAGTATGCAGAACAGGCATGGTTACTGCCTTCATGGAGCTTAAAGATTTCAACTCGGTGTGGAGAACACCTTTCTAAAAATGTAGCTGCTTCATGGGAGGGGCAGGCTGCCTTGAAGGGCAGTGGTTGATCTGAGGCAGCCGGCCACTGGTGGGAAGGTTTTAGAGGGGATTCCAGAATCAGATCTAGGTTAGATCAGACTAGATGCCTTTCAGGCTTGGGATTTTAAGACAGGGGAGAATAAACACACTTTGGTTCTAGGGTTGCCAGATTTAACAAATAAAAATGCAGAATGCTCTTTTAAATTCGACTTTCAGATAAACGAATGCTTTTTCAGTATAGGTATATACCAAATATCACATGGGATATACTTGCATTAAAACCATTGTCGTTTATCTGAAATTCCAATTTAAGTGGGTGTCCTGTATTTTCACTGGCAGTCATTCTCGGTCATTTGGCAGCAGGTGGGCTTACTTTCCCTTTTTCCTCAGTCCCTGTAATGTCAGTTAGCAAGGCCCCCAAGACAAAAGCCCACACCCAGGCCAAAGCTCCTCTCAGCTGCCACCACCAAGAACCACCTGGATTCTCTCCTCTCACCTCCAAGATGGCAACCTCCTGCCGGTTGCGCAGAATCCTGAAGGCAAATGGATGTCTGGGCCCAAAGCCTGGGGCCACCTCACAGCCGCAGAGAGCAATGGCATTCACATGGGTCCGCAGGTCTGTGTGATCCTTGTGGAAGTACAGAGTGTTGCACTTCAGGCGGCACCAGCGTTCCTTCCAGCCCTGGTTCACCAGCACGTTCAGATAGCCTGGGAGGGGGAGACCAGCAGGGTGACCTCCTGACAGCCCGGCCCTGGGGAAACCCAAGGTGGGGGCTGTGAGTCTGCATGGGTCTACACCCTGGGGACAAGCGCCTGGACAACCCTTGTTCTCTAGCTGGAAAGAGGCCTTGGTCCTGGATCAGCTTACTCTCTCTGGGCCTGTGGCCTCTGGCACCCTCTTCTCCCTGAGTTTCATTTCCTTATCTGAAGTGGGGACTGATGATCACATTCATATACCGATACCCAGCCTTTGTACCATACCCAGCTTGGTGAAAAGGGCAGGGGACTACTGTAGAGGTGAGTAAAAGACACAACTATCCCTTTTGCCTTTCCTCCTCCCGAAATAGCAGAACTATTAGTGAGACAGAAAATAATGGGTAATGCTGACACCTAGTGGCAGCATGTGGGAACAAAAGTGTCTAGCCAAGAGGAAGAATTCTAAAATGAGCAAGGCACAGGCTGATGACCAGTGGGTTTAGAATTCGCTCTCAACATTTTAGATTTAAATAATTTTTTCCCACAACATGCCCTGATTTACTGGTTACAAAATAATTCTTTATAGCCATGTGATTTTATAATATTTTTTCAGGTTTGAGGGAATATTACTGCATATCCAAAATACAGAATTTTCTGGGGCGCCTGGGTGGCTCAGTCGTTAAGCGTCTGCCTTCGGCTCAGGTCATGCTCCCAGGGTCCTGGGATCAAGCCCCGCATCGGGCTCCCTGCTCGGCGGGAAGCCTGCTTCTCCCTCTCCCACTCCCCCTGCTTGTGTTCCTGCTCTCGCTGTGTCTCTCTCTGTCAAATAAATAAATAGAATCTTAAAAACAAAACAAAACAAAAACAAAACAAGAAAACCCAACAAAATACAGAATATTCTATTGGAGTTCAGCACATGGAACACTGCATTAACGAGAACAGGATAATATATCTTCCCTTCCAAACCATGTTAAACTCACACTGAAGGCATTTATAACCATGTTTAACTCACGCTGAATGCATTTGTAAGTACTTAAATATTTTTATCCGAGAAATTTCCTTATAAGACTGGGTTATAACTTACACACCTGGCTGTTATGTGCTGGGAAGAAATAAGATACTCTCCTCCCGTCACAGTGGAGGAAACTGAGGCCCACAGACGGGCAATGATTGGAGCTGAGGTCACAGGGAACACAGAGATAGGGAGTCAGGTGGCTTTTCCTTTTCCTGAGTGTTAGGCCTTACCGGAGAGAAGTGATGTAAAGGCATGGATTGTTGATGGAGTGCGGGTTAGGTAGGATTCTCTCCTCTGCCCTGGGAGCAAGGTGGAAGAGGCCTAGAGGGTTTTCTGGCTTAGCCCAGGGGCCCACAGCAGCAGGGTGTGACTCTTCTCCTCCCGGTGCCCAGAACCCACCACAGCATGGAACCTCCTCATGGGGGCAGGATGTCTGCAGGTCATCAGCCAGTGGCTTCTTCTTGGAGAAGCTGATGATGCGGGTGATCTTGCGGCCCGCGGCCCTGCTCATTGAACCCTTCAGCTCTGCCAAACTGCTCTTCTTCCCTTTGCCTGTTGCCATGGAGATGGGTTAGAGGAAGGGAGGGAGCCCCAAGTCGCAGACCCACCCATCCCAGCCTTCCCAACGGCCCTTTCAGCCAGCGCCTGGGGCCTGGCTGCAACTGCAGGTGTGGACAGGCCAGGTGACCTTCCCCAGATCTCCAGAGCCGTCGGGACCTGCTCTGCACCGTGTCCCTGTGCAAGGCCCCTCCCGGCTGTGGCATTCTCCGGCCTGAGTCCCCAGAGGCTCCTACCGTGGTCGCAGGCCTCCCGGCGGCCTAGAGTAGAACAGCTGTTACCCATGCCCAGGCTGTCTGAGTCTGAGGTCTGCTTCTCTTGGGACAGTCTCTGGCGGGGGGTGGGGGGGGTGGGCGGGGGCGACACAGAGATCCCCATGTCAGAAGGCACACTCAGAAGTCCCCCTTTGTTGGTACAATCCCCCCAATCTCTGCACACGATGATTGCCTAACAAATATTTGTCAGCACCTCTCCTGTGCCTGACACTATTCCAGGTCTGGGGAAGACAGGCTGACTTAGGACGGTTGTACCTTCGAATTGCTCATCGTCCGTTTGGGGAGCCAGGCACCTAGTTGCAACGCATTGTAATAAATTCCTAGGATATCCCGTATTCGGTAGGTGACAGGGTCTGGGAAGGTACTTACGTTAGGATTCTAATGTAATGCAGCTGGTTTAGGAAGTGACCTCTGGTGGCATCGTGGGGACAGACTATCAGCCAAAGTGCCACATTAAAGAGTGTCACCCAGGGCAAGGTGGGCCATGGTAAAGGAAGGAGCTAAGATGACAAGACGTAGAAAAAGGGAAGAGTTGGCGTGTTCAAAATAGTTATGGCAGGACTTGGTGGCCAGGAAATGTGAATGGTGACAACACAGGGGTCTTCATGGTCCTGACCCGGGTAGAAGGGCGGTGAAGACATGCACACACACCATAGCAGCAACTCCATCACACCCACAGAACTTTGCTCATATGCTGACTCCGGACCCATCGCTCGTCCGCCCGTCTCTTCATTCACTCATTCAGACAAGGTCAGTTAGGTGCTGACTAGGCACTACGGAGGTGGCGAGGCAGAGTCAGATGGACCTTGGAAAAAATTCTGTCCCTGGTACCACCTGTTAGTCATGGGAACCCGGGAAATTCCTTTCCTTGCCCCAAGGCTTGGTTTTCTCGCGGGAATCACATCCTTTTCCAGGGAGCCAACAGATGGTATCATCTCTCACACCTGCGTGCTGTGTTGCCACCTCGCTTTAAAAAGCTAAATGGTGCCAGTTAGCCTTGGGACAGGATTAAAGTGGCACCAACCCACTTAAAAAGTAGTAGAACAGGATCTGAGGCCCCTCCACCTTTCCTGCCAAGGACTTCCCAGACCAGGCTCAGGGATGCTTTGCTATAAGCACAGAACTTGGGGGCCTGGAGAGACAGGAGAGGCCTTGGGCTCCCCTCAATTTCCAAAGGCTGGAAACAGGGCAACTGTCAGAATTGGGATAGATCTGTTGAAAGTATAAAGGATCTCCCCTGTAATTTGTGAAACAATGTATGGTTCTATTTGCCCTGCAATGGTATACAGATGGTAGGTTTTTCTTTCTTGCTTTCTTTCTTTCTTTCTTTCTTTTTTAAAGATTTTATTTATTTTGACAGAGAGAGACAGCGAGAGAGGGGACACAAGCAGGGGGAGCGGGAGAGGGAGAAGCAGGCTCTCTGCTTAACACAGGTGCCATCTCCTGCCATCTCCCCTCCCCCTCCCCCATTGCCCCTCCGGCCAGTGTGAACCCCTGTCCCCTTCACTGCAGTTGGAAAGGTCCTGGAAAGGACCACTCTAATAGGCTAAATGAGCCCCCTTCTGTCTGAATCCAGCCACACTGGCCACCTTCCATTTGCTTCCCCCTGCTCTGGGGCCTGCTCCCTCAGCTTGGAATGCCCTTTCCCTCCCCTCCCTTTCTAGTTGTTCACCCTCATTATAAATGTGCTCTCTTAGAGAAACTTCCCTGACGCCTGAGACAAGAGCAGGCCCCTGGCAGAGGTTCCCAGGGTACCTGGTGCTTTTCCCTCCCAGCGCTCACACAGCTGGGCTTTTGTGTCAACCCCCCCTGGGGGGGGCACAGGGTGGGTGTGAACTATTGTTAGCATTGCACCTGCGTGCCCAGCACAATGCCTGGGGCACGGGGCTCACGAATGACTCGGCAAGCAGACCTTAGTTCAGCCCCCTTAAGAGATGGGGGGCAAAGTCATCAAGAGCCAGGTGTCTGGGTATCCCATCCTTGCTCTGCTTCTTATTAACTATGGGACTTGGGGTAAGCCTCTCTGCGTCCCACCTTCCTCATGTGAAAATGGAATTCGTCAAAGAGCTGTCATAAAAATGAAAGTAGGTAATACATGTAAAGCCTACCAGACTTTGCTGACCACACACAGATTCTAGAAACACTAACCTTTATTATGTCATGCAAGACTCGTGTGTGTAGGTTGGGGGCTGAGTCCCTTGATCACCCACTGGCATCTGGCAAAGCGGCTGCCTGAGCAACTACCAAGTGCCCGCTTCACTCCCGTCCCAGCGGGGTACACTCCTCTGACAGCTTCCAATTTGCTTTTCATGGCTCCGTTCAACTGTGACCTCCTCCCGTCCTGGCGGGGCTAGTTACTCCCTCCTCGGGCTCACACTGTGCCTTGGACGTGGGTATTCATTCGTTCATGCATGCATTCATTCAGGAAACACGGACTGAGTGCCGACTTGTGCCAGCTCCAAGCGGGGCACTCATGGCTTGTCTGAGGCAGGTGCCTGGCTTCACCACTGGCCGGTGGATCCCCCCGGGGCAGAGCCCGTGTTGAGTCCCCGCTGCCTGGCACGGAGGACGTACCTTGTCTAGGTCCAGCTTGCACAGGAGGACTGGGGATTGGGGCACGTCTGTGCCCTCAGTCGCCCCGGCAGGCCTGTTCACCTCTCGGATGACCTGTGGAGAGGATGCACAACCGTGAGCAGGTGGACAGGGGTACTGTTGAGGCAGAAGGAAGAATGCAGTCTGTGCAGTCAGGGCCATCGAGCAGCGGGGCTGAGATCCCTGGGCAGTGGGGATGGGTTGATGTGGCCTCCTGCACATCGGGGTTTGAACACCGTTTCCCCTTGAATTGAAAAGAGAGGGGGCTGGGGAACAAGAGGCATGGCTTCTAGACCGGGCTCCGTTGCTAATCAGTTGTGCAATCTTGTGAAAGCCACTTTCCTCCTCTGGGCCTTAGTTTACCTGTCTGTCACATGGGGATAATACTGTCCTCTGCTTATGTCCTTGGGTTGCCTGAGGACCAGCGAGATCGTGGGTGTGAAGGGCCACATGACCCAGGGCCCCCCGCACAAGCATGAGGGACTGGCTCCCGTGACAGTGTGGAACGTTGGCAACAGGCTGCAGGCAGTCGGGGGCTACCCCCTCCATTTCAGAGGCGTGGGCATGGAGACCCCAGGGCACTCACTCACAATGCAGAAACAGCCGGACCGTGAAATAATGGTGGCCCTCACCTGTTGCTCACCCATCTGCGGTTTTACATGGATTACCCCACTGTATTTTTTTTAAAGATTTTATTTATTTATTTGAGAGAGAGAAAGAGAGAGAGAGAGAGCACATGAGAGCGGGGAGGGTCCGAGGGAGAAGCAGACTGCCTGCCGAGCAGGGAGCCCGATGCGGGACTCGATCATCACGACCTGAACCAAAGGCAGTCGCTTAACCAACGGAGCCACCCAGGCGCCCTATCTCATTGTATTAACACAGTGGCCCCGAGGGGCAGAGACAACTGGGATCCCCACGTCACATAATAGGATGACGGGGCTCGGAGAAGCGAAGCCGTGGTTGCCTGCCCTGAACCTCTGGGCTAATGACCTCCCCGTATCGGGACGTCAACACAGTCTCTAGTCCAGGCTTGACTCCAGTCTCAGTCTCCAGTCTAGGGCTCCTTCTTCTGGCCCACCCGGCCCCTGGAGGGCACAGGCTCCCCCAGCAGGCAGGTTCTCTCCCTTCTTTCCCCTCCTGAGACAAAGATAATGAGCAGCACTAAACCTCCCAGGGGGAGAGCTGGTTATCACAGGAAGGAAGGGAGGATGGGGAGGGAGGGAGGTGTCTGGTTTCTTTGTCCCAGCAGGAAGATCAGAGGACGAGGGAGAAAGGTGTCAGAGGGGAAGCGGGACAGGGTGCAGGGACATGGCGGCCCGAGGTAAGGGACTGGGGATGGTGGCTCCACCACCATGACACAGTGATGACTCACAGTTACTGAGTACTTACTGTCTGGCAGGCACTGTATTAAATGCTCTCTAGAATCTTTACAAGAACCATTTTACAGAACAGGAAACTGAGGCACAGATAGGCAAAGTCATTTGCAGAAGATCACATAGCCAGTAAGTCCATTTAGGCCTGGGACCTGAACTCAAGTCTGTGTGCCACCAAAGTCCTCCCTTGTCATCACTGTGCCACCCTGCCTATGGCCTTTGGAGTAGATTTCCTTGGTAACTTCTAATCTTGGCTCCAACAACTTAGTTGGGTGACCTTTGGCAAGTCACAGAAGATTCCTAGGCCTCAGGTTCCTCATCTGTAAAATGGGAACGATAATAGTCCCATTGCAAAGAGTAAATGAGGTCAAGTATGTAACGCTCTTAGCACAATGCATGGCACAAAACACACGCTCAGTACACAGTAACTAATTGTTCTACCGTCAGAGGCAAGATGTGGAAGCTGGGCCACAGGTGGTTGTTCTGAGGATACACATTTCACCTAAGACAGGAAGGATTTCCTCTTTTTAATTTTTTTAAAAGATTAGCTTATCTAATGATAAAATGTGTTTCCTTCAAAGATATTAAGCTCTGCATTCCGGGAGGTATACATATGCAGGCTAGACAAGCCCACAGTGAGGATGTTAGAGGATTCTAATCACTAGAAAGAAGGCATTACTTCAGCCTGAGGTCTGTCTCCTGAAGATGTCTGAAGCCCACTTCCACATGTCAGCCCTAGCCATGCACAGGGTTCTGATTGCCACCCCTCCCCAGAGCAAGGCCTGTTCTTCCAGGGACTGGAGCCCACCTGGCTGAAAGCTGGACCTGGGGAAGGGGGAAAGGAAGGGCAGGTGCCATGTACCTTCAGCCACTCCTCGGCTTGCTCCCGGCTCTGCAGTGCCAGCACCAAGACCTCGGTAGCCCCCTGGGAGAAGCGCAGCTCGTGCCTCTTGTGCCGGCTGTCCTTGGGCACGTAGGTCACGCTGCAGACATCCAGCGCCAGCCTCAGATGCGGCTGCCGGTCCTTGGAGCTTTTGTAACACTGGACAGGAAGAGAAGGACTCACCCTTCTGGACTGGAGGGCAGAGGAGGGAGATGCCCTCACACAAAGACTTGGGGGAGCTCGACCTACACCCTCCCCACCCCCAGCCCAGCTGTGGGCACTGCATGAAGATAGGGGCTGTGGCTATTCACCCCAGAGAAAAGAAGCCTGGAAGGGGGGCATCGTTGGAGAACCTTCAGATCTCAAGGGCTACCGGGGGCCCCAGGGGCACAGCCACCTATTAGGAAGAGACAGATTTTAGCACAATACTAGGAAGACCACTCTAGTCTAAAGAACCAGAGAAGAAACAGGCTGGCTTGGAAGGAAGCCAGCTCCCTGCTACTAATGTGCTACCTAGCAGGAATGTGGGAGAGAGAATTCTAGCAGACATGGAGGGTTGGGCTTGGGAAGTCAATAGTTTATCAATAATGACCCCCTCACTTCCCAGTTCTTATTATGAAGCCAGCATTACCTTGATACCAGAACCTGACAATGACATACAAAAAGGAAAATGAAAGGTTAATCTCAACATGGTTGCAAAAGCTCTCAAAAAACCACTAGCAGATAGAATCTAGACACATATAAAAGCATACTGTATCAAGACGAAATCGGGTTTATTCTAGGATTGCAAGAATGCATTAGCCTTCAAAACCCAACCCTATAATTCATCATATTAATGGAAAATAAGGAGAAAAGCCACATCTCAATAGAAACAGAAAAGGCATTTGGTAAAATTCTCCACCAGTTTGTAATATAAACTCTTAGCAAACTAGAGTTATAGAGGGGAACTTCCTTAATGTGATAATAAGGTGCTTCTACAAACCACCCACAGCAAACATCAGCCTTAATAGTGAATTATTGCAACTTTGCCTTCGAGCTTTGGACTGAGACAAGGATGCCTGCTCTCACCACTTCTATTTACATTGTGTTGGAGATCCTAACCAATGCAGTATTTCAAGAAAAAAATGGCATAAGGAGTGGGAAGAAATAAATCATGACCTTTGGACTGGTTCTGGCCTGGGGTGAGCTTTTCACTGCTCCAGGATGAGAAAAAATCATGTTTCAAGTGGATATATGTTGGACAAGGCTTCTCAATGGATTTTGGGATAAATAACTAATAATTTTTTTCTGAAATTACGTCTGTATTCCTACCCTGGAATTAAAGGTACATTTTCTTTTATGAAATGATGGCGATGAGAGATGGCAAATTAAAAAAAAAAAACTAAGAAAGCAAGTTCCATAGTAAGTGCTGCATGGGCTCAGTTTTAGAAAAGGCAAATGAATGGAAATGAGAGTGGACACATGGATGTTAAGACTTAACAGTAGGGGTGCGTGGGTGGCTCAGTTGTTAAGCGGCTGCCTTCAGCTCAGGTCATGATCCCAGGGTCCTGGGATCGACCCCCACATCGGGCTTCCTGCTCAGCGGGAAGCCTGCTTTTCCCTCCCCCACTCCCCCTGCTTGTGTTGCCTCTCTCGCTGTCTCTCTCTCTCTGTCAAATAAATAAATAAAATCTTAAAAAAAAAAAACTTAACAGTGGTTAGCTCTTGGTCAATGGGATTTTAGGTGGCTTTAAAAATCATTTTCATTATGTTTTTCTCTAGTTTTATACATAAACACATTTAGTTGCATAATGAAAACAATAAACATTGTTTTAAACTGATAAAAAATTCATTCCTGGAGAAACAAAAACTTGGTAAAGTCTACATCAGGTCTTTGAGTGTGTGTGTGTGTGTGTGTGTGTGTGTTCATTCTGTTCCAGTGGGAGAGCCCTGATCTCAGAAACACTGAGCCTCTGTGCACAAAGCAAGCCCAGAGGAACAGAGGCAGACATGCCTGCACACACACACACACACACACACACACGTAAGTCCATGTGAGGCCTAGAGGCACACTTCCGCGGCCACTCACCAGGAGCTGGTCCTCCTTGATGACGGTCAGCTGCTTGGCCCACTGCCCAAAGCGCTTTTTCCGTAGCAGGAAGGCACATATCCGGCAGTCCCTCACCAGGTGCATGGAGGCCTCCTCCGAGGGCCACTGGTGCGTGGGCTGTGGCCCTTTCCCTTCCTCCTCCTCCTCATCATAGGACTCATAGGAGCTGCTCATCGGGTCAGAGTCATTGTCTGCGGGAGCCACGGGGAAGGGCCCGTTACTGTGGCCTCGCCTGGGAGGCACCTTCTTACCCTCTGCTGGTGTCCTTACCCTGGGATTCGAGGACCGGGGGGGGGGGGGGCATGAGGTGTGACCATGGTGATCTCTACACCCCCCCATGGGCACTGTGTTGTGTAGATTTACCGGTGGCTTTGCGACCTCAGTGACTTCACTTCTCAGAGCTTCAGTTTTCTTATCCGTAAAATGGTCACAATCACAATCAGTGACAGTATCTACCTCATCAGGTTATTAGGATCAGTGACTGTAGAGCGTCCAGCCCACCGTCTGGCACTTGGTGAGTACTCCGCTAACATCAGCTACGGTCATACCCCATCATTTCCGTGCCCTTAGTTTCAGGTGACTCTCACAGCACCCAGCAAATCCCCATTTTATACAGAAGGCAACTGGAGGCTCAAAGAGAACAAATGACTCATTCAAGGTCAGTCACCAAGGGTCAGGGCAATGGCTAGATCCAGGGCTCCCAACTCCCATGCCTTTTCACTGAACCCCAGGGTCATGAGTACAAGGGCTTGGGGCCTCTGTGGTGACCCAGAGGGGCTGGCATGCATGTGCACGCCAACGGTCAGGTCAAAGCCTCCTCTCTGAGGACAGGACCATTCTGAACATCTTCTCGGTACTTACAGGAGTTCTTTAGGTCCCCATTCATCCTGGTCGTGGGGTAGCTGCTGTCTGCATCCTCATAGTAGCCATCCATGATGGAGTGGGCTGGACTGCAGCCATCTGTGGGGTTGGCAGAAGGAGCGGCACCTTGGAAAAAGACAGGCAGACTGCAGGGACCATGGCTGGGGAAGACCCCAGACACCATGCCCCTCCTTGGGGAAGAGAGAGTGCAGCTCCTTGGCCAGGGTGAGGGGCCTCCTCTCTGCATGTCATCTGCTCTAGCTTCCCACAAGCTCTCTGTGTTTCTGTCACCAGAAGCTGCCCTACTGGGCCCTGTCATACCTCCAGGGCTGTGTTCATGCTATTCTGTGTGCTCTCTTAGCTTCTGCTAGAGAACTCCTACTCATCCTTCAATAGCCAGCTCAAAGATCTTTCTTCTGACCTTCTCAGACAGAGAATAGTCAGCCCCTCCTCAGTGATCCCACAGCATTGGTGGTGGTGGTGGTGGTGGTGGTGGTGGTGGTGGTGGTGGTGTGTGTGTGTGTGTGTCTTGGTCACAGCGCTTGCCCCTATACTGCAAGGAGTGGTGCTCCAGCTGCCTGGGCTCAGCCCCCCTCATCTTCTGCCACCTCAGTCCTTCTGCTCCCTTCCTGATGCATATGCTCTCTCTTGTGATGGAGACTCTCCTAAATTTCTGTGACTACGGGGAGGACCTGGACTAGAGGAGCTAAAGGTATAACTCATACAATAGTGAACACAACAGCTCCCTCCATGGAATGTTCCCAGCACACTCCCACACAGGGGCAGCACAGTGCAGGAGTGTGTGGGGGGGCTATCTGAAACTGTATTCTGCATCAGAATTACGGGGGGGGGGTTTCTTTAAAATGCAGATCTCTGGACTGTCTCCCTAGAGATTCTGATTCACCGGTGTGGGTATGGGCTGAGCTGAGGAATCTGCATTTTAAAAAAACCTATTTAACAGGACAATAAAAAACATGTAACAATGGAAACTATATGGAACTTCAAGAAATCGGACTTTTTAAAAAACAGTTAAGGTTATTTTGACGCAGATGGCTCCGGGGCACACTCTGAAGGTCAGTGGGTTAAGGGCATGTGCTTCGGGTTTGATCAGATTTGAGGTGAAATCTGTCACCACCATTTATTGGCCATAAAAGCCCCCAGGTTCTCTGTATTTCAGGGTCTTCACCTACTGTGACGGGAGCAGTTCCCACCTTGGACTAATGATACAATGCATATAAGCTCTTGGCACAGTGCCTGGCACATAGAATGTGCTGGACAGATGCCAGCTGTCATTATTATTACCTATTATTACCCTATATTATTATTATCTCCTTTGATTCCTACAAAGCAGGGAGGTAGGTATGAGCCCCATTTTACAGATGGGAGCCCTGCGGCCCCACACCATTTGCTAGGGTCAGAATCTGCACGAGAGGGCGCCTGGGTGGCTCAGTTGGCTAAGCGACTGCCTTCGGCTCAGGTCATGATCCTGGAGTCCCGGGATCGAGTCCCGCATCGGGCTCCCTGCTCGGCAGGGAGTCTGCTTCTCCCTCTGACCCTTCCCTCTCTCATGTGCTCTCTCTCTCTCTCATTCTTTCTCTCAAATAAATAAATAAAATCTTAAAAAAAAAAAAAAGAATCTGCATGGGAACTGAGGTTGTCAGCTCAGGGAGTAGATGCACATCCCCTCTTCCAAGAAGACTTCCTTCATGCCGTCCAACTGGCTCTCGTACCACACTGTTCTTCAAAGTGCTGCTCTGGGCTCCCAGCCCCTGCCATCCGTCTGTTTCCTGAGGACAGCAGCACTGAAATTCCCAGCGACTGGGATACCAAGTGCTGTCTCCCAAGTGATGAGCAGAACCTGCCCTTCCCAGCAGGTCCTCTGAGGCCTCAGATGCTGGTAACACCCCATGAGATGGATGGGCGGGGCGGGGGGGCAGGGGTGTGATGGGGAGAGGGAGGGGACACCCGGGGCAGAGCTCTCGAATACCTGGCCGGGCTGGTCACTGTGTCAGAGGAAGGATGTTCCCTAGCGGGCTTGGCACCCTCTCCCTGGTCCAGCCCCCTGGCCCTTCCTGAGGCCCGCCCTTCCCTCCTGGCCCAGGATCCCCAAGGCCCCATCAGAGAGGAGTGTGAGCTCCCTGGGGAGGTAGAGCAGTCTCACCCAGCCGAGGGGCTTGACCTGGGATTCGGGGCCCAGCAGCACTTTGTCCTCACCTTCCTCTCCTGTCCTCAAGTGGATAAAATAGAATAAAGTCAACTGCTTCACATCCAAACAGCTGCTTACAGCAACACAGACTGCAAGACTCTCAAGGCTGAAGAGAGCCACTGATCACCTGGTTCAACCCCACCATTTCACTTTGTTTTAACTAGTTGATTAATCCCAAAAATAATATACCACAGTAGCCCAAGGAGGAAAAAACCCCAAATGTCCACCAACTGACTGAACAAAATGTGGTCTATCCACACAATGGACGATGACGTGGCCGTAAAAAGGAGAGGAGTACTGATTCACGCAGTGACACGGGTTAACCTTGAAAACATTATACTGAGGGAAATAAGCCAGACACCAGAGGCCACACATTGTATGGTTCTATTTATGTGAAATATTCAGAATCGGCCAATCCATAGAGACAGAAAGGAGATTGGTGGTTGCCGGAAGCTCAGGGGAAAAGGGGAATGAGAGTGACTGCTTAATGGGCATGCGCTTTCCCCCTTGAGTGATGAAAATGTCTGGGAACTGGGTAGAGCCAATGGCTGCCCAACACGGTGAGTGTACTAAATGTCCCCGATTGGGCAGTTTAAAGGGGTTGAAATGGTCCATTTTATGTTATGTATATTTTGTTACAATAAAAAAATATGCCCATGGTGATAAGCACAATCAGTACAGAAGAGTATGAATGGGAAAATATTACGTTCCTTTCACCCAGATTTCTACAGGGAAACACTGTTCACGGTTTCTTGCATATCCTAGAAAAATTGCTAAAATGAATGCATGAGTGTGTGTGTACCCCATTAAGGAACAAATGGAATCATATAACAGGCAGTATTCTGTGTTCTAGGTTTATATCAATGAAGGTATCTTGGAATTCATTTCCGATCAGCACAGACAGACCTACTTTATTCATTTTTTGGAAAATACTCCACTGTGCTACTGAATGAGAGTAGAGCCCCACATAAACATTATCTTATAAAAGTTCAACTACAAATGCTGGGTCACCCAAAAACCATAATATAGTTTCTTGTGTGTGATGTTAAGTTCCTATATCCAAGCCAGTGACTTATCTGATCCTCAAAAAAACAGGTGGTTATTTCAGTGCTCGAGGGAACCCATGGAAAGAGGAGTCCAAATCCAGAGACTCTCCTTTGTGGCCAATTTAAGAGATTTGAATTCCCTGGGGTGCCCACAATCGGAAGACCTTTTGATTTTGGCCACGTGCTTTTTTTACCCCACACGTTCACTTTATAACTTACTTCTCCTCTCAGGTGTGGCCAGGCTGAAGGACAAACCAGTTCACCGGGTCCACCGAGGAGGAGCACGAGGGAGAGCACCAGCTTCGGTGGCCGTCTGTGTACCTCCGTCCCCACACATTTATATGCATGTATCCAGCCCCTTCTTATTTTCAGAGTAGGGAAGGGGATTGTCCAAGGCCGCACAGAACTGGGGCTGGAACCAAGCCCCTGATCCCTGGGGCTAGGCCCACTGGCCTCCCCAGGCCTTCCTTAGAGAGGCTGGGGGCTCAGGCAGCTCCTCCCCAGGATGTGGGCAGGGCTGGGCCAGTGCCGGGCTTGGAGCTCCAGCCCTAGCGGGACACACGGGAGCTTTAGGAGAGGAGTCCCCCCGGGGAACCAGAACTTACTGTGGGAGCTGATGTACTCAGGGGACTTGCCCGGGCCCAGGGGAAGGGCCTCTTCATAGTAGTCCTCGGGCGGGGGCCTTTGGGGAAGCGGTGGAGGCAGGTCGGCTGCCTGAAGTGGGACAAAGGAGGCACGTAAGACCAAGAAGGCCAGGAGAGCAGAGGGAGCGGGTGGGCTGACGGCAAGGAGGCTGGGGCAGAGAGAGGCAGGAGCCCCGAGGAGGCGGGATGCATGCTCTGAAGGTGAAGCCGGAACTTCTGACAGGGTGGCAGAAGGCAGAGGTGGGAACCCTGAGAGTTTGCTTGGTCCTCTTACTTCTTGCCCGACCTATTTCAGCATCAGGGCTTCTCCGTAAGATCTAAAAGTTTTGTGGAGTGCCACATAGATGTAGTCAGGCTTTTGATTAAGTAAGCGCATGCACAGTGATCAAAAACTGTTGTGACTTCTGCAATGCTCTGCAACCACATCTACCTACCTGTGAGGAACAGCAAGACAAGTACATGGAAGACACGTTACTTAGTGAGGCAGCACGGCCTCGTGGCTAAGAGCTTAGGCTCTGGGGCCAGGGCACCCCTGCTTCACCAGGATTAAGCTCTGTCACTTATGAGTTGTGGGCACTGACATGTCACTTACGCTAAGCCTCAGTTTCCTCACCTGTAAAATGGGGATAACAGTGGTGCTAACCTCATTCAGTTATTGTGAGCACGTAAAGGACGTAGTAAGGGGTCAACAGTTGGTACCACTGGATGGTGATGATGACAGTGAATTATGCAGTTGACAGAGAGTGTTTGATGTGATTATGGGTCCCTTGCCTTAATTCCATGGATGAAGCCTGAGGACCCTAGATATGATCCACACCTTTATTTTGTAAGTGAAAAACAGGATCAGAAAGGGGAGGTGATTTGTTTAAGACCACATGGCAGCAGGAGGAGGGCAGAGGCCACCGAGCCCTGGTCCAGAGCTTTCCCCACACTCCACGTTTATTATGGCAATGAGAAGTTGGGGTGGGGAACGTCCTTTGTGCCTGAATGGACAGATCAGTTCACCACATTATCCCTGCTCAGCGCGGGTGCAGTGAGCACATCATGAGTCACTGAAATGTTCTCACAACCTGTTTCTCCCCTTAGAACACAGGCAGGAGGGACCCAAGCTTTGGGGGGAGAGCTTCATTGGCCACTTCAGAGTGACAGAGGGCTGGACAGTGTGGGAACCCAGGCCATGACTCACATGTCTCAGAGACGGGCTCTTGGCTGGCTCAGGACTGGCTCCTTTGCAGGGCTCCCCGTCATCTTCTGGCATGTCCCGGAGGTCACTCAGGTCACAGTCTACCGAAGGGCAGGCCATTGGGGCAGAGCAAGCCAGGGATGAGCACAGTAGAATGGGAAAAAGCCTGGATTTGGGGTCAGGAGGCCTCTACCACCTCCTCTGTTAGAAACCCTGGGCAAGCGACTTAATCACTCTGAGACTTGGTCTTTTCCTTTGTAAACCAGTCCCAATAATCCCTCGCCTTGTCTGTCTGCCAGGGTTATCAAGAGGGCCAAATGAGATGATATCTCGTGTGGTGCTTTGGAGATTTTCAAGAAGTGGGTTATGAAGGCACCTGGTCTTCCGTCAGTCTCTCCATCCCTGAAACTTTCACCTGACCTGCAGCTTTCTTTAAGAGGAATAGTGCTGTCTTCCCTCGGAATGGAGCAGGGGGCTCACACACCCTGCCCACCACCCGGTGCGCCTGCTCCACGCCCATGATGCCCCCGGCAGCTCCCCTCTCTGCTGGGGCACTGGATGGCTCAACCCCGGGGTCAGGAGGCCACCACCAGTGGATGTGAGCAGCAGGAGAGACAGCACCTTCTTTGGCCTGCATGTTCCTCCCTACCTTTCCTCAAATCCTGGGGATGACTTCCTGTGACCATACAGATTTTGACTAGACTTTCAGACCTGGCAGGGCCCAGAGAGGTCAAGGGACCTGCCCAACGTGACTCAGTGTTGCAATGTTAGAGCCAGGCCCCCACCCAATCTGAGGACCCTTCCGGAGACTGGGGCAGTGGGCCTGTACACTCAGGGAGGGGACAGCTCCCAGCTGGGGTTGGGAGAGGGTGGCTTACCGAACTCTTCAAAGAGGGACTCCACGAAGCTGGGCCCGGAGTGGAGGTCCGCTGTGTTCACATACAGGTAGGAGACTTCTTTGGCTGTGAGGAGAGGGGGAGCGTGTCAGCAGTGAGGAGGAAGGGGGGGTCTGCTGCTGCCCACTCTGACGACGGCCGGGTCTCCACGTCCCACCACTGGGACTCAAGCCCACTCAGGACACGGCACCGTTGACAAAGCACGTGCACATCCTAAATGAGTTCCCTGGTTTTCAAGCTTTGTTCTGATTTTTACATCGTTCCTGAGCATCTCCTTCTCCAAGTGGAAGGATGCTCAGAGCCCAGCATAGAAAACAGAACAGGTAAGGCGCTCCGGGGACGGCCAGGGGACAGGGCCAAGCACCGTTGGCAAACTGCCGCCCCTACTACCCTCCCACCGTCCTGTGAGGGCTGCTGATCACATCAGCCTGTTTTGTCACTAGAAGTGAGGCTCCGAGAGTCACCCAGTGGGGACGCCCCCGTCCCCCATCACTCAGACGCCACAACACTGCGGGACACAGGGTTTACTGAGTGCTGGGCTGACCTGGGGTGTCGAGAAAAGGCGGGAGCAGAGGGGGAGGTCTTGCTGCCGAATAGACGGGGGCGGGGGGGGGCAGAGGGGCTGTGGGGCTAGCGGGGGGCGCGTGAGGGCAGCCCCCGCAGGGGGTGTGTGCGGTGTGTGTGCGCGTGTGAGTGTCGTGTGTGAGAGTGCGTGGGGTGGGAGCGGTGTGCTGTGCGTCCTGGTCACGTGAGCTGCGCATGTGCGAGCGTGCTGTTGGCGAGTGTGCCGCGTGTGTCACGCGAGTGGGTCTTTGTTACGGGAGTACCACGCCGGTGAGAAGGCGTTGTGCGCACGAGCGTGGTGTGTGTGTGTGTGTGAGGTGGTGTGGCAGCTGTGGACATGAGCTTTAGTGGGGTGAGGATGGAGGGGCACGAAGAGCCCGGCCAGGGTGGAGAAGGACAAAGGGGTCGAGGACACCGGCCAGGCCACGGACGTGTTTGGTGCCCACGCTGTGAGGCTTCGGTTTCTGCGAGCCTCAGGCCCTGGGGAGTTCCTGAGGGTTCTTGAGGAGCTGGGGGCGGAGCGCCGATGGCTGACCTGGGAGGGGCTGCAGGCTCTGCAGGATGGAGGCCACAGCCATCTTCTTCTCCAGGGCAGTGTCACTGAGGTACTCATGGTCCAGGAGGCTGAGCAGCCCCGTGAGCTCAGGGAGCAGCTGCTCCAGCACTGAGGAGGAAGCACAGCGGGGCTTGGGGTCAGGATCCGGCCCCGCTCCCACCCACCAGAGGCCAGGGCAGTGGGGGCGGGGGGCGGGGGGCAGAGGGCAGGGGGGGTGCAACACGGAGACCTCAGCAGCCCTCCCACAGCTGTCCCAGGGCTGGCCACCCACCCTCCGAGGGAGAGCCCTGCTCAGCAGTTAGCCATGACGTTCCTCTGGGCCTCCCCACGCTGCCTCAGACCTCGGACGGCCTTGGCCTGAGGACGGACGCCCCCGGCTTCAGCCTGGCAACTCTGAGCCCAGGCAGCCTGAGCAGAGGCTCTTAGGCCTGCCTTTGTCCCAGCATGCCCTCGGCTGTCCAGGTCCAGGGGTCCTTTCCCACTGTGGCTCGAGGCTTGGTTGCAGGTCCCAGGCTGGAGCCCCCGGCCATCCAGGACACAGGCAGGAAGGGAGCCTTCCTGTCCCATCAGTTCATACACTTCAATCTCTGGAACCTTCTGTTTCCGGTGCCTTGGTGGGAGCCAAACTAAACATTAACGCTTCCCACCCCAGGCCCCAAACCGTTATCACCAGTCTTTCCATGCTTTACCAACATTTTTCACACTTGAATGTATAGAGGAATTACCTGGGGATCTCATCGAAATGCAGAGGTTGGCTCAGGTCTGAGGCGGGACCTGAGATTCTGCATTTCCAGTGAGCTCCTGGCTGATGCTGATCCCGCTGGTTGAGACCACACAGACTTGCTAAACCCTACGGCACGTGGTCTTTTAAAGACTGGAGCATGCCACAACCATGACGTCATTGATGTGTCCCTGTCCCAAAGGGTAACTTGGGACTTGGTTCGTCTTAGACCAGCTTTGTTACAGTAGTAGTACTATCCTGCTTTGTGACTTGCTAGTCACTTGTGCAGAATACTAAAAGCTAACCATGTCGAATGATTCTTGTGAGCGTTGCTAAGCCCTTCATACTTATAATCGCATTTAAATATACTACCAAGCATTTTATGGCTCAGAGTGGTTAAGTAACTCCTCCAGGGTCACATAGCCAGTGAAGCCTCGACTGGCCCTGACTCCCTCACTCACTAGATTGCCTTGCAGTATTTTATACAACCCCACCAACAAGTTTTGAGATAGGCCCCATGTTCACACCTATTTTTTAGAGGAAGAAACCAAGGCTCAGAGAAGTGTCTCGCTTGCAATCACACAGAGGCCACCGAAGAGCCAGGCCTTTGGCTTATAGTCTCTGGACTCCCAGCCCCATGTGCTTCTCTCCACCCTGGGCCCTCCTAAGGAAACAACCAGACTCTGACTTACAGTTACAAGGTCTGTCTGCGTGTGGTAGAGGGCCTGTAATATCGTGCATAAGAGAACCAGCCCTGGAGCCAGACTGCCTAGGATCACGTTCAGGCTCCATTCATTAATTGTGGGACCTTCGAAAGTTTCTTAGCCTATGACTCAGTTTCCTCCTCCATACAGGGGGTCATAATAACACCTGCCTTAGAGGGTTGCTGTGAAGATTAATTAGGTCATGCATGAGAAGTGCCTTTCCCCAAGGTCATGCATGAGAAGTGCTCACCCCAAGTCAGCTGTTGGGGCTGTCATTGTATTTACCATGCTGATCTGTGCTGTGTGAGTATCTGTGAGGCTCTAGACAGGGCAGACTGCCCTTGGAATCTCAACTTCCTTCGCATCTAGTCTGGGGCCTGCTCAGTGCTGGTGCTCCATATGTATTTGATGAGAGAGGGCGTGAGCAGATGACCACACCAGGACTTTTAAAAAAATAGAATTGTATGTACAGATAGTGGCACTTGTTGGAAAAAATGTGATGTGGCTATATCTCTGTGGCATTCCATCATCACCTTAAATTTGTTGGAAATGAGCTAAAGGCTGATCCTGTCAGCTACCACCTCATGAGTTCTCTCTGGTGCTGGGCACTGAGATAGGCGCCTCATCTGTGAGCAGGTACTCCTGGGATACCTGTGTTCCAGAAGAGGACTGAGGCCGAGGGAGGCTGTGGGATGGTTGCACAGCGTGAAAGAGGTGGAGCCAGGCTGATGCCACGTTTGTGTGATTTCTAGAGCTGTTGAGTTGCACAACGCCAGGGGGCGCGACTCACCTCACAGCCCAAGTGCAAGGGACCTGGAGGCCCTGCTGCCTCCACAGCCCCAGTGCTGGCAATGCCACCTGAGCAAGGCTTCTGGGTGGGTAGATTTCCCTCCTTGAAGTAGGAAACCACTTAAAATCATAAAAACATCTTAGGTAAATTTTAGCTGTTGCAAAGGAAATCTTTACAAACGGAATCACAAACCTCTCCGGCACCCTCACCAGATACACTGAAAGTCAGTAACTCAGTTCTAAGGTGTTGACTGAGCCCTAATGATGTGCCACTCAGGGGATTAGAAAATGAATAAGATATTGTTTCGGTGGGTATGCTCTACCTCTGTCTCTCTGTCTCTCTCTCTCACACATACCACACACACACACACAGACACACACAGACACACGTGTAATAACTCATGAGGGAGGCCATGGTAAATGCTACTGGGAAGGCACCGCAGGGGACGATGGGAGCTTTCTTGTGGCCTGCAGCCATGGTTCCTATTTGAAAATTCATGACATTGCTCTGATATCATGTGGGAATGTCAAGGCTATGGGGTACAGTGACTGTTTTATCGCTCTGAAACTTTTTGGATTTGGGATTCCTTTGCACATTAGAAAATTATCAAGGACTCCACAGAACTTTTGTTTTATGGGGATCATAGTTATCAATATTGACTGTATTAACAATTAAAGCTGAGAAAATTTTAAACCACAAGAATACACAGGCACATATCCCATTGGCCTTCAGAGCTACTGTGTCATCATGCGACACAACCGCTGGAAAACTCCACTGTAAACATAGAAAGAATGGGAGTGGAAAAAGGCATATTGGGTCCGAGTACTATATAAAAGTAGTTTGACCTTGTGGACTCCCAGGAAGCATTCCCCAACCACACCTTGCAGAGAATCGCCGTCCTTCAATGAATGACCTGGGATTGCTAAGTCTTGTCCCTGTGTCCATTCTTCCTTCCCTCTCTCCCCACTTCCCTCCCGCCCTCTCTGTCTCTCATTTCGCTCTGAGGTCCCAAAGATTTCTTCTTGCTGTTATCGTCATAGTGCTATTATAGTGCTATTGTCGGCAGCATTCCTGCTTCTAAAAGCTCTCCTGCTTCTAATTTGAGGTTTATTGCAATTGTTTCTAAAGTAAGAACAGTTAGGTTCTGAGTGAGTTTTCTGCATTGACAGATGGGAGTTTTAATACCCAAGCTTTGTTAACAACTCTTTAAATTTTTTCCCTGATTGTTAACGGGATTCCCAACATGGGGCCCTGACTTCTAAGTGTTCTTGTTGAATGGAGACGTGATCACAAAAGTCCAAACACAGCAAAGGAGAAGGAGGGAACTGAGTGAACCTGGGAGAAGCAGATGCCCGTGGCAACATCTGTGGCCTGGAAGGACCCGGCAGTCAGCAGGTGGCCAAGGGGGAGTCCCACAGCATTTCCAAAGTTGGTTAGCGGAGGGAGCATGAGCCACAGGGGACTTCTCAGCAAATGGGCGAGAACCCTTCCCCAGGGCGGAGCAGTGACTGTGTGCTGGGCAGTTAGGGTGTACCCTCTCATTTCAGGCTCATAAACTGCAGAGGAGGGATGTAGTGTTGTGCTCTGTGTCCCATGCGGGAGGGAATGGAGGCTCAGAGAAGTGACGCCACCCAGCTGGTAAATGGTAAGGCCTGGCCTTGAGGCCAGGTCTGTCTGACTTCACAGTGTACACTCTGTGCCAGAATCTTCCATCAGAAAACATGGGTTCAGAGCACTGGAGGCCAGGTTGGGGCAGGGAGGAGGCAAGTAGCCCCTCAAAACCCTCCTGCTGGGGGCTCTGGGCCATGACTTCATCAGGGCTCCTGACCTGGGGTCCCCACACTGGATGGGTGGAAGGCTCTTATTGGGGGGCTAAAATTCTTGCTCAGTGGGTCTCTTTGCACTGGGACTGTTTGTGAACTTCAGAGTCCTAACTGTAAAGATCCAGAGAAGAAAAACAAGCGGCTCAAAGCATCTACCTGACTTAACAGCAGGATCTCATCCCAGAGGGTCCCTTATGCCTCACGGGTACAAGAGGGCTTTCAGCCAGTGCTTGACTCTTCAAAGGCAGTACCTTTGAGCTCTCCTCTCAAAGGCTGGCTTTCAGGGGCAATGAATGTGGCAGTGCCTTCCGTGGCAGCTTTGTCTTTAATGCCAGAGAACTGAAACCACAGGAATTTAAACGATCACAGAATTGAATTTGGAGAGAAATCATATGTATATAGTGCATATGGCGAGGTGGTTCTGCCTCAGACAGACCCTCCAGGACAGCAGCCTCAAATTTTAGCAAGAATAAGACTCTCCCGGGGGGGTTGTTGGAAAGGCTGATTCCTGGACCTCCTACCTGGGCCTTCTGATTCCGTAGACCCACTACTGAGACCCAAGAAACTGCATTTTATTTTATTATTTTTTTTATTTAAAAGATTTAGTTATTTGCCAGAGAGAGAGAGAGAGAGAGAGAGAGAGCACAAGCAGAGGGAGTGGCAGGCAGAGGGAAAAGCAGGCTCCCCACTGAGCAGGGAACTTGATGTGGGGCTCCATCCCAGGACCCTGGGATCACGACCTGAGCCGAAGGCAGACGCTTAACCGACTGAGCCACCCAGGCGCCCCAGAAGCTGCATTTTAATAAGTACTCCAGGTGATTCCAAGGTTCAACCTTTGAAAGCTACTCCGCCAGAAAACCCATACTACAAGGCACGTCTGTGAACATAAGGAATGTGGGAAGACCTTTCTCGTTTGCTCACAAGTTATCATTAGACCTCACCTTTGAAAGAACTGCAAGTCTAGGTGGGAATAAGAGCTCCCACAGATTATAAATAGCCAGAGCCTGGAAGCTTGCTGAGAAGAGCATGGTGCTTGGGTCCTTGGGGTCAGACCCGTTGCACTGCAGTTC